CGTAGTTTCAAAATGTCTGTATTTTTATGATGAAGCAATTAAAGGTATCATTCCTTTCCATTGATAGCCCTTCAGGCCTAACATCTCACCTGTTTTCCAGTCCGTCCACATACACCTTCTTCTTCTTGCGGCTCTCCTGAGCAGACTGCTTGTTGCGGATCTTCCTCCTGACCCTCTTCAAGGTCCTCTCCTCTGCCTGTTACACACAAAGAAGGCTTTCACCACAATGCTGACATGACAGATTACGACGTATATTTCAACAGCCTTGAGCAGCTGTGTCGCAGCTGGACCAAACTGAAAAAAAACACTAAATAGCCACTACATGGAGATATAAGACCAATATTTACATGTCCAATAAAAGAATCAAAACTGTTTTATTGTACTATAATTGCCAAACAGATTAACAACACTATTAAATGTATCAGCAGTCTGTTCTTTGATGAAGTTCCTAATTAAACAAACATTTACAACATGTCGCAGATGTTCTTATCTAGGGCAGATTGCAATGCTGCCAATTAGCTCAAGTAGAAAAACATTCACAGGAGTGAATTACCTTTGTGAGAGGCATGTGCGTGGGAATAGTTGCTCCCTCTTTTCCCAGAAGCCGCTTCTCTTCCTCAGTAAGCACAATCTCTTTAAACTGGAACTAAAGGGAGAAAATAGAAACATTGAATGACCTGTATAAAATGATAGATGTGGAGGAGTCAAATCACAATACCTGACTCAATTTTCAAATGTAAAATTATACTTTCTTGACTAACATTGATAAATGGCTCGACTTGGTATTCATAACTTTTGTTTGTAAATATTCAAAATATGAATATAGATTTTTCTACATATTGAGAATAGTTTTGTTTTTTAAACACAACTGGGTGATAAAATGTGTGCAAAGCTGGCAACCTACTAGATAAAAAGAATGTAATCAGAATGTCCTTTTACTTGACTTGTGGTCTTATTCTCATCACAGTAACACAGTAAGGACTTGAATGAAGCTTGAAGGGTTACGAATATTTCACTTGCTGGTGACACATGTGACTCTGCAACCTGATGCGCCAGGTGCGACTAACAATATGCCAAAAATAGCTCACCAATCATTTCAAAGATATAAATCATGCACACCAAACTGAAACTGTCTGTCTTCTTTGTAAAGATCACTTAAAAAAACATCAAAATAAGGAAAAGTAAGGGTAACTGACCCGGTCCATGTCATTGTCTTGAGTGGAATCCTGAGTGGAGTCCTCTATGGACAAAGTGCAGGGCAGATCGTCTGTGATGTCCTCCTCCTCGTCATCTTCCTCCATTGCCTCACTCACCAAGTCGTCTGACACAAGAGAAATATATTCAAAATAAATATAATGTGGCATGCTGACCAGCTCTGCAAGTCAGTGCTGCCATGTGTCTATTATGTATGCAGCTTCCCTCACACTGAATGTGCACTAAATACATGTGTTTTGTAGAGATTTATCAACGGGTTAGGTGTATAAGTTACACATATTAATATACTTAAGCCTATACAAATTATAGATAAAGCCAGAATCAGACTGTTTCTGTGCTAAACAGGAAAACATTCCTGCCTACTGCAATAACTCTGTATAACAAATCTCCTCTGGCTGGCAGAGAACTCACTGCTCCATAACTTCTCTTTGGACACACTGTACATTTTACATTTATATTTAATTTAATATTCCATTCCCTACACTTTTAATGTAAATAATATCCTGCTTTATATTGTGTCTAAAGCCTTTCAATAGTGTTTCATTGTCAAAGTTTCTAGATTTTTTTATCTTCACGGCCTACTCTATATTTTTCTACTTTTTAATGCCGTTTTAATAGAATTTTGAGATGTTTAAATTCTAGTATTGTTTATTTCTACTCTTTAATTTCTACTTATGTGCAATGCCTTGTTTTGGTGTTTTTTATGCTGCTGCAACGCAAACAATCACGTGAAATTCCCAATTTGGGATCAATAAAGTACCTCTTATCTTATCCTATCTAAACATACCCAGATCAATGAAGACATCTGTATCGGGCTGCTCTGCCCTCACACTCTGCAGGGCGTCCATGTCCCTGCCATCGCTCTGCAGCAGAGAGTAGCTGTGATCGGCCTGGACTGACAGCACCTCCGGGCTCTCTGCCTGCAGCTCTCCGGGGGCCAGGGCAGGGTCCGAGTGCTCGGGGCTAGCCTGGGAGTAGCAGGGACTGGGCACCACGTCACTGTCGCTGCCCTGGGGACTCGAGCATCCCAGAGGATTGTTGTTTCCAACCACAGTGCTGCTGTCATCGGAAATACCGCTATCGCTGCCCAAGGGAGAGTGAGAGGGACCGATAGCACCCATGTTGTCTTCTCCATCTAACAAGCTGGACAGAAAGTCTTCAGTGTCCATTCCTGTCAGTATCTGTGGGGGAAAAAACAGTTAGCTTTATCACCACATGTTTAAAAATACACAGTAGTAAGATTTTGAGTCATCCAAAGAGGAACAATATGGTTCAATATTGTGTTGGATGGCAATCTAACCATGGAATAATTGTAACATTAATATGTTTAATGTGAATGAAGTCTTACACTCTGCTCTGACAGCCAGGATTCAATGATCTCATTCCCATCAGGAAAGAGGGGCTCAGTAGATCCATTCCCTTCATTGTGGAACAGCAGCCCGAACAGGTCTGCTCCATCCATGTCTGGAAGCTCCTCAGTGACCGCTGACATCTGTAGCAACACAGCAGCATATGGACCACAGCATTAGTAATAAATAGTCATATTTATTAAAAACGGCATCAATGTTTAGATACAATTAATATTATAATACAAGTACAAGAAAAAAGAGCTTTCCCAACACTATCCCATAAGAGTCTGTATTTTGCTGTAAACACGACAAAAATGCTAGATGCTGAGAAAAAAGAATTGCTTGCACAAAAATAGTGAAGGCATCTTTTGTGTTAACTTATAAAGGGTACACACACAAATAAAAAAGCATCATTATCAGACTGGACCTTGTCTGGGATGGAACAAAAATATTTGCAAATTGATCCATGTGTCGATTTATCAAAACATCTTCTTTAAGAGACTTATGTTGCAAAAATAACTGCTTGTTGATGCTTTTCTGTGCTTTAGATCTTTCGTTTATTTATTAATTTGACAATTATTTCTGAGTTAAATTAACGTAAACTAAATTCTTAATTATCATAGGAGTATTACTATAACATAACTCAAATATGACTGAATGTCACATAGAAGTCCAATATTTAATACAGAAAAATCATAACAATTCAGAGCGTAATGCAAAGTGTTAAATCAAATGTTTTTATAGTGGAATATCCTCTTATTAAAATCACCCTGCTTTATAATGTGTGATATTATTACAATGATAATTCACAGGACAACAGAAAAGTAGAGTGATGGTACGCGAAGCTTCCACTGTACTTTGTGTGTCTGCCCAAAGCTGATCTGCATGTGGATACTGTTTCCACTGTAAGGAGCTCACCAGCCTTGACAGGTTTTAAGGTGGTGTCTAAGGTGTGACAGATTAGGAGTCCACGTCACTGAGTTAATAACACGTATACTAAAGTGCCATGTAAACAGTTTCATATTGCATCATTTCATTGCCACGCTCCCATCATGATCTCATCATATTTTGAGCCCCGCCCACACATGCCTTTGTCACGAGATCTCAGAATACAATATCAAGTTTCAAAACAAAAAGATGTAATGGTATTAACTTAGTGTATTCCAGGAAAATAATTGTACATGATGCAGTGCTTCCCGATATGTTATCTTTAAAGAAAGGGGAATACAGTCCGGATGCATGGTGTCTTTGTTGTATTGCAAAATAAGAGCATTGTCCTGCAGCATAGCCATTTAAATATATACGATATGAGCTGGTTAACGTTACAGTGAACAATACAATTCATAAACATTAAAAAAAAGAAAGAAAATGACTGCATTATGTACTCCAATTGCAGGAAAGGAGGACATGTCTTTAGGCCAACATCCACCAGCCAGCTAGTGTTAGCTCAATAATTCTGTCATTATCTTACAAAGAGGGCGTGGTCCTTCGTGACATTAAACACTCTGAAAAACGTTAAATACAGTTGATGTAAACATAAATGTTCGTACCGTTCGATGACAGAAGACCAAATACCATTCGAGTGATAGCGTCCGGGTGTCTTTTGGTTTCACACTCAGCGTTTCTTCACTGCCACAGTAGTATACAGTCACAGCGATTCCTCGGAAACTACCTTCCAACGAGGCAAAAATTGCGTCATCACGTAAAGGCGGATATGAGTACGTGGGCTTCTTGGGTGATTCTGGGAAGTGTAGTAGAGCAGCCTACAAGTACTGTACTCATGCTAGTCTTGCTTTCTGCATTCAATACGGCATAGACTGCAGCCTATGGCGGCATAGGCATACACATAAATGGCAGTAGGCCAAATAAGGGGAAGGTTTTCCTTAAATATTATCCATATATTATATAATTATTATGATGCAGCTAAGAGTCTTTATTTAGCTGTAAACACTACAAAAAAGCTCGATGCTGAGAAAAAATAATTTCTTGCACAAAAACAGTGAAGGCACCTTTTCTGTTAAATTCTAAAGGGTACACACAAAAATAAAAGCGCATCATTAGCTATGAAAAATAATCATAAAAAAGACAAATCCATTTCAATGTTTTTTTATGTATTCATTTTATTTGAAACATGGCATGAAAATCAGACATCTGATAACTTAAAAATGAATAACTGGAACTCATACCAAAATTGTCTAAGTCAAATATAAAGATTGTTTTTTCTACATGAGCAACCAATCATTTTGGTGATGGTGTTTAAGTGATATCTTGTCTCTCTCAAGAAATCTCTCTTCCTATCACCACAAACATTAAAGAGTATAATGAAGTCAGTCTGGCTGAGGGTCAAGTGATTTCATAACATGATAGAAAAAGTAAGGCATCGCAGAAAAAAGTGCAAATAAATATTATAGACATTATATTTCATGTAGCTGCATGTTTCACCACTTCATCACCTCAGCATTATGTTGTGGATTTCTAACTTTTTTCATTAAGATTTATGCTACATTCATGTCTCATAGGGTTTATTGGTGTTCCAGCACTAAGCATTGAATGGATGGGCTATACATATATAGCCTCCATGTCTCATGCAAAGTTGTGGGAATGCTTAATTGTAAGGTCCTTGTAATAAGCATTCATAGGTAATAGGGCCCCTGTTGGGCCTTATAAAATGCTTTTTGACATTATCATGTGTTAAATACCACTATAAGTGTTAATAAAACACATTTATTCGGCATACTTTATTTTGCCCTCATTAGCATTTAGCAATGTGCTTAATATAAAAAAACACTTTTTGCCAAACTTGAGTAAGAACAATGTCTTATAACCTAACATTAAACGTGTTAATATTGCTACAAACATTCATATATCCTTATTAGCAAATGTTAATATGCATCTTATAAAGGACTTTTTATCTAATAGGTAATACTTATTTCAAGGACCTCAATGAAAAGCATTACCAAAGAAGCTCTCTAATCATCATAATATTAATTTGTAAATGTATTTCACAACATTTCCATCTCTCATGAGTAGGTCCTTGTCAAAAAGGATACACTCATGATTCATCAACAGCAACATTCTCACAGAGACTAATATTACTTACTAGAAGAAAGATACTCTAGGAAGAAATGCAGTTTGTTTAGGAGCTGAGTAAGGGTGTAAGTTAAACTGCTGGACTGAAAAGCACCTTTGTTTTGCATTTCTAATAAAATCCATGCATCCTCATCTCAGTTATGAAGTGAAATCATTTCCAGAGCAAAGCAGAACATTTAGTCACAGAATCACACAGAGCTTAGATGTGTGCCCTAGACTACGATACCCTTTTAGCCGTTCCTTTTTACTCTGTTTTTTTGGTCTGACTACCTGTGGGACCACAGGCATGCTCACAACAGCCCTTTTCCTGTGAGCACGGTGTAGCAGGATCCTATAGATCCCTGTGATGGAGCTCCTGCAGTCTTTTCCTTGGTTGTTGAGGATATGCTCTGAGCTGATTCCCAATGTTTCCAGTGCTGCTTTCACCTCTTTCTCTTCCTCTACTAGTTCAGATGGATCACTTTCTGCTAGGTAGGATGGGTCTAGTTTGAAGGGCTCCATGGCATGTGGGAAGTCCACTGGGAGCAGCCACTCACAGCCCATCATCTGCTCCACTGTACAGCGGTCAGATGGTATGGGTTGGAGGATTCCCCTGATCAGCCGCTGGCATGCCTCTGGCACCCAGGAGGGCAGGATGTAGGCTCCCTCCAGAATGCACCGCTTCAGTTTGGGCACAGTGTCTGCCCTGAACGGCATGGTGCATGTCACCATAAAGAACAGCATCACCCCCAAGGCCCAGATGTCTACAAAGATGCCGACATAGTGCTCATCCCGAAAGAGCTCCGGCGCAGCGTAAGGAGGAGAGCCGCAGAATGTGTTGAGGGTCTCACTGCGGGGGCTCAGCGTGCTAAAGCCAAAGTCCCCCACCTTGACACAGGAGCTGCTGGTGTAGAACACATTTTCTGCTTTCAGGTCCCTGTGGATGATGTTGTTTTCATGCTGAGAGAGAACAGGGAGAAACTGCATTATGTGCCATCTACTGTCACTTCAAGTCTGATGTGGACATTTGGAGATACCAGTGAATATGCGCCAAAAATTGACTTTTTAGTGAAGTATAAGTAGCTAGTCTTAAAAGTAGCTAGTCTCTTAATGGTCATCATCACAGTTATTTGACTTAAAGACTGAAAATAGGTTGCATTCAGATTGATTTTTTTTATTATTTTACTTAAACCTGCTCAATATAAACCTATATGTACTGACCATGTGTTTGACAGCAGAGAGGATCTGAGAGAAAACAATCTTGCTTTCGGTGTCAGAGAGTTTCCCCTCTGTCGTAATCTTTGCGTAGAGCTCCCCTCCCCCTGCATACTCCATCACCAGGTGTAACCGTGACAACGTCTCCACCACCTAAAAAAGAAAAAGGATGACAGGAAAGTCAGAGTGCATTACTTAAGTATATCAGATGTCTGGCCGGATGTAGTTGTGTAATCTCCTTTGGGACCAGTTTCAGTTTGTATATAAATCAATAGGGGAGTCAAACCTCATAGAGGCGTATGATGTTGGGATGGTGAAGTTTCTCCATGCTAGAGATCTCTCTGGACAGAAGTCGCTGAGTCTTCTGATCCAGCTTTGTTTTATCTAGGATCTTTATGGCCACTTTGTCTAGTAATGTCATGGGAGAATACACATTTGAAAAAACTTGAATTATACAGCACTTTATGCAGTTTCAAATTGAATCACAGTTATTGATAAAAATCACACAGCTTGTTATAAATAAAACAAAAACCCAACAATAAAAGCAATAAAACAAACAAAACAGCATAAAAATACAGAAAACATAAGTACAGACAAGTAAGTAAAGTTATAGCCCAACTATTGTCTATTGAATGTCAAAAGCCTGGATACTGTGCCCAGAACCAATTGAATTTGGATAAGTGCAGACTCCCCCCAAAAGAAAAATAAGAAGATTGTAATCGGACTGGGAGAGATCAAAGGAAAGATCATCCCATTTAAATGATACATACAACTGGGTGTCATTTTTTATATTGTAATAATTAGACCAAGTGTGAGCATATAAAGATGAGCTGATGAAGAGAAAAACATCCACAATCGGCCCCCTAAAAGATGTCTCTGTAATCTTTAAGGAAATCCATCTGAATAAAGGACCATTTATGCTAGTCCAGTGTTTTCAGATAATTTAAAAGCATGCAGGGAAATACTTAAATGTTGCATTTCATTTAAACTGAACATTTAATATTTTGAAGATTTTGTAAAAAAACAAGATATAATGTCCCTATGTGTCTATCATTGCTAAAATGATCCGCGATGTCTGTGACATCATACATTCACATGTTAAGTAAAGAGATAGAGGATGGAAAATGTGAGCCTGTGACAAGCAAACACAGAATTGCCCGTCAAGAGACCAAGCCCGATGCTCTCTAGATCATTTGATGGAGGATTAGCTGTACTTAGAAACCAATTTTCTTGATGATGTAATTTCACATTCTTTGTTTCGTTAAAAGTCAATTTGATTTTGCAATTAAAGAAATACAGCTGGTCTGACTTCAGGTCTGAGCACAAAGTATAAAGGGTCAGGTGAAGATTAAATATGACGGCAACACTGAAGGCTGTGTTAGCTACATTGTGCTGAAACACAACTTGACTTATCACCTTTAAAATGTGAGGGGAGGAATATATAGTGCACATTTCAAGATTGATATTTTACAGTTACAGATACAGAGATAACATTTTACAGCCAATAAAGATCAAAATACGTAACATATATCAAATTCAAACAACTGATGTCTTCACTGTATTCTGTTAAATAATTTATAAAGAGAAGTTAAATAGAGCTCAGGTAACTAAATAAAGAAAAGGTTTTAAGTGGCAAAATGGTGTTGAGATATCTAATTGTGCATCAGTATGCATTATTCAGACTGGTATTAGGCTCCCTTTCAGCTGTGACATAGCTTTCAAAAGGAGCATTCAAAATGCATCGCAGCTCATATTGTTTTTGGAAGACTAAATGATACCACTTATATCCACATGCACACATAGCATGGCACAGACAGGCACATAGCACATTACATATAACCCTAAAAAGATAGAAAAAAACAGAGCTACACACTCATTTTCCTCCCTCTCTTTGGCCTTTGATGAGGCATGGATCAATTTTAGCCGTCGCTAAGGAAACAAGAGATCTCTAATCAATCCATCTGTTCAAGGGCAGCAGGCAATCTGTCTCGTGGCTGAATCAGCCCCCTGGCCAGGCACACATCACCTGGTTAGTAAATTGCTACAAAAGGACACACTTATTAGTGTTGCAGCCTACTGATGGAAAGCACTCATCAGCCAAATTACCACTTAAATCTAATAAAAAGCCAGAGCAAATGGGAGGTTACCTAAGGTTTCCTTAATTATGGATGTGTTCCAAGCTTTAGCAATGGCTATTAAGTCAAACTGTATACCTTCCATCACTGAGCCTTGATTATACTCAGTATGATTGCCGCTCTAGATTCTTTCCTGTACACAAGCGCAGATCTTTTAATAGCGGCATAAAACTCATGTCTTGTACTTTCTCACCTTTGGTGAGGGCATGGATTCCTAACTTGACATGGGAGAAATTTCCACAGCCGATCTCCCCTCGAATTTTGTAGAAGCCGATTCTCCTTCCCACTGTTAGCTCACGGACCACCCTGTGACCAGATTAAATCACAGAAGATATTCTTTGTGATATACTACAGTTGAGCCACCATAGGAAACATTTCCACACCGGATAAAGTAAGGGATAAGCAAATAGATAATATAGCATCACCCCTTGAAGCCTACCTGTCGTCCTGGCACATGTCCAGATTCAGTCTCTCCAGAGGAGTGAGGCGGCGGACAGTAGCTCCTTCGTCATCTGTGTTGATGTCGGAGCTGTCCTGGCGGCTCCAGCGGCTGTACCTCTGGCCCCCAGGGACCACAGCTGTACCTCCAACTGAACCTCCGACAGAGTCTCCATTAGACTCTGCAGTCTCTGCCCCAGAGACTGAGATGCTCCCAGCTGTGCCTGCTGGCCCGCGCCCCCTTGAGCCTGCTGTCCCAGCCCCAGCTTCAGCCCCCTCTGGGCTGCTCTCCGAGGGGCAGACAGCAGTCATCCTGCAAGGGATGCCCAGGGTGGCGTTGGCTTAGCTCATGGCTGGGGGTAGTGGAGGACTGGATGCCCAATAAGAAAAAAGTTAAAATATATATTTGCATGCCCTGTGCACGATGATTGATTTTCCTAAATTATTCAATTGCCTTTTAAAATCCACCCTTATAAACTAACTACACTCTTAAGCTTCTAGGATCAAACATTTTTATAAAGCCAACTACAAAATGTTCTACTTTTCTTGTCTGACCATATTAGATTATTATTATTATTAATATTATTATTATTATAGATCTAATTTAAACATTGATATAGAGCAAATTCAAATGGGACAAAAACTCTGACTTACCTTCAGGTGTGAGCCATTTTGAGAGAAAAAGTATTTCAGTGTCATTGACCAAAGCTCATAACTTTTTAGACAACTGAGTAAAAAAAACAACGTTATGAATGCTGGTTTCCTGTATCTCAACAAAATAGTGCAGAACCTCCAGTCTGTGTACGCGAGAACATGCTGCATCCAGAATTTCCCAAATCTGCAAAACTGTCCTCTTCACGAAGAAATTCCGTTAGTCCTATCTTGTGTTCCTCATGTAAAGTTGTTGAAAAAACGATGCTGAACCTTAAAATCAGATGGGATTCATGGTCTCAGTTGTGTCTTCCTGAAGAGGTTCACAGAGCTGTAATGGGCTCTTTCGGTCTCCAGGGTATAAATAGGCCACAGGTTGAGGAGGAGGGCAGAGGAGCTTGATGGGGGGGGGATGGTGGAAAGAGGTTGAACAGATGATAAGTGTCAGGGTGCAGCCATGGAGCGTGAAGTGAGACAACCTGGAATAAAGCACAAGAGAGATGGTAAAACAAATGTAATCTATGTTAGGTTTCCATGAATGTTAATCCAAACAAATCGCATATCTTTATCACTTTCCAATAAAATACCTTTCTAATTGTAATGGAGAGCATGAGAGATTACTGTTATCCCATGTGTGTGTGTGTGTGTGTGTGTGTATGTGTGTGTGTGTGTGTATGTGTGTGTGTGTGTGTGTGTGTGTGTGTGTGTGATAAAGTACGGGGTGTACTCGATTATAACTAGGTGATAATTGCATGCTGCTCAAATCATAAAAGTCTAACAAAGTCCCAAGAGAGGAAAAAGACAAAGGGAATCTGAGGTTAAGGTGAACCCTAATTGTGCATAAGTATAATCTCTAATGACATCTGAAATCACTGACATAGAATACACAAATTGTCCTAATTTCCTAGTGGTAGTGTTTAACAGAATATTATGCACACTTAGGACTTGCAACCAGCCAACCAAGTTAATAGAATAACCTGAATCAACCTGACACCTGGATTTAAATACCACAGCGAATGGCATGTATACAAACAGTAACAGTACAATCTATGGCCCTCATATAAACCGAATATTGCCACAGTCTCAGTTAAAAAATGACAGATTAGCTTTTCATTAATGCATTAAAGGATAACACTGCCTGGCAATATTCATAACTTTTAGATGTGTCAACATAATCAATAAATACATTGATCATTCAACAATTTGATGAATAACTATGGATAGAAAAAAAAGGCAATAGTAGTAAGGCTTAACCTGGTGTAACATGGTTCTTTGGAAGGTGCTCTCTCTCGTCTGTCTCTATATTAAGATGAATCAATCTATTTTAAAGCCTCACAAGGAAATCAAAGCATTTCTCTTTTGTGAGATGCAACAATCTCCCAGCCTTCAAACACCTTGCTACCATCGTGCCATGAATATCGAAGCATTGATCTCAGGCAGACTAAAAGGACTTGCTAAGAGAAGAGAGGCATCCACTTTACAGCACAAAGCAACGAGCCCTGAATACCAGCCTTTTATACACATAAACAAAAAGACTAAAGGGACAACCTTGCATGATATAAACACATCAATTATGAGAGAAGAGCAAGAAGGGTTTGTGGACAAAATCTCCATCGGAAAATGGTATTTTTCTTTTATTGTAGATTAATATGTACTTACTAGTCTACTAAAAGAATAAGGAGTTATAAATATGTCTTAGCAAGTACAATTTCAAACGACTCCTGTTTGCTGTTGCACATCCTGCAAGTATTGTACTTTTTTCATTCATAATATACTTTATATAGAGAATAGCATTTTCAAGTAATATTCTTGACATATTCATATAAATACATATATTTTTTGTCACCATCTATTTCCAAACTAGGAAACACAAAAGTGATTTAGCCATGGCAAAAAAAGAGTTTGAAATATAACAAAGAGTCATGAAGCAGAAGCCACAGTGAGTTGTTAGATGAAGAGCTGCAGGGTAAACCGACTACTTTAAAGTCTGTGTTCACACTGTGAGCGCACCTAAATTCCATATCAACTGACTTTGAGCAAGTCGCAGAAAGGTGAGGTTTAACAACCAAATGCATCTCTGTTTCATGGATGGTAGAGAGGTATTGACGATTGCTGGATTTTATTGCTTCATATTTCTATTTGTAAATCCCCATATTCTATAAACAGGCAAAAGGAAAACAACAGCCTAAAGTCAACAGCAGTCCAAGATGGTGAGTTAACAACTAAGAACAAATTAACAAGTCAAATGAACACGGTAATAGTTCTGTCTTAATACTGTTGTTATATTCTATGATTCAATCACATTTTCTATAAGTAAATTAAGTGTCTCTGAAACAAACAGAGGGGATTCTTAAGGACTGCCACACAAACTGGATGTACTGATAATGACTTTAAGTGAAGAGTATCTCCACAGAGGGTCTATAGACGAGAAATAGTTACCCAGATTGCTTTGTGCTTTGTTTCCACTGGATAACAGAACTACCTGGTTGCTTGGTGACACGAGTGTGTGTTTGTTTTCATGCTGAGCATTAGGCATTACCTGGCACTGAGTGTCAAGAAAGAGAGCACATAGGGCCATGTTCACAGTTATACAATGCTGCATTGAGCCTCAAAGTACCCGTGTTAATTATGTATGCATGCAGAGTGATGGATTTATACATACACCTAGACACACACATAGAAAAAGCACAAGAGAGCAACAATGACCTTATAATTATATGGTAACTAACCTGTTGGATTGAGCTAGAGCTGAGATACAGTTAGTAGTTCTGGTCATTTTAACCATACTGTATGTAAAGAAAATATTTAAAAAAAAGAACTGATTCGTTACTCTTAGAGATAGGCCTATTTTTGAGGATTTCCAGGCAAGTCCAAGACACCGCGGTATTCCCAGATCAAGCTGCAGAAATGTTATCGGTCTTGTTAGCGCCTCAGGATCCCAAGAGGGGCTGGGAGACGTTGCTGTGGAGAGACCTTGTGTAGCCTGCTGCTGGCTAGCCCTGGGGTTAACATAAAAAAAAGGATGAATGTTGTCCTCTGCACTTTGACAGACAGATGTACGAGACTTTGTTGGATGTACTATTCAGAAACTAACTCAATTGGTAGTGCTTATCTAAAACAGGTCAGCAAATGGCTAGCCCTTTACCATCAAACACTATTAGCTTTGCCAAGCATTGTTGCCTACGCACCAGACAGCCAGTCATTTGTCTTGGGATTCCTCAAGAGAAGGGATTACCTGGTGCACTCGGCTGCTGAACACACATATAGCATCAGCAGCTTCCTCACACTCCAACAACGGAAAACACAAGAGGCCAACCAAAGCAGCTGTGGATAAGAATTACACCTGACAACAGAGGAGCTGTTTCTAACATCACAAGCTGCCAAACATCAGTTAAAAGAGTTCCTCCTCTCTGTTTAGGCTGTAAAAAAAACACCTTACTTTTCCTCCCATTCACTTGACGTCCCTCTCTTATTTCGCCTGTGCTTGATCGGCATTGTCTCTTTCACTGCAGTTATGCATTCAAGCACAAAGACGAGGACATACACACTTTGCACATGCACACTCATTTAAACGCACACACAAGTGCATACACACAGACAGTGAGCTCTCTCAAACAAAGCAGCCCAGTGTGTTGATTGAGACGCACGGCTGACAAGAATAAAGAGCTCAGCAGTGAAAGAGCTGTGACAATGAAGACTACGGGCCCTAGGAACAGAGAGGCAGGCCGCTCTGGAATCCATGGGGCAAACATTTCACATCTCCTAAAAAACAGACTGACCCCTTAATCCCTCCCCCCTGACACAAACAAACACACACACACACACACACCTCTATGGATGCACTAAAACTAAAGCATGTGGTTTACCTGACTTGATTTCACCATCAATAACCAATGGTCAACTGAATTAATTCAATACACAAGTTGGACACTATTGTGACTATTTACCACTGAAGTTGGGGAAAAACTTAATATTTTTAACCTTACATGACAGAATCTGTACTAGATAATACCTTGCAGCTCCTTGCCTGTCTATCTCAGAGAGAGAGAGAGAGAGAGAGAGAGAGAGAGAGAGAGAGAGAGAGAGAGAGAGAGAGAGAGAGAGAGAGAGAGAGAGAGAGAGAGAGGTCTCTGAGGCCTAAACAAAGTTTCTATGACACTGTATATCCAATAACATAATACATAATGTGGAAGAATCATGCATCTGGTGCTTCAAATCCAATATATTTGGTCAGTTATTTCTTCCTTCTTCACACATCTGATTTTGCATTGTATTCACTGTCAGCGCTTCAAAGAGGTTTGCATCAAAGAAAAAACACATAAAGGACAATGTTTCATGTGCTCTGACTGATTGACCATCAAAAGAATACAAATCAAGAACAAATGTTATTAAGGCGGATGTAAACACACCCTAAAAAAGGGATAGCTTCTAATCCAGGTCTACAATGAGTGGAAAACATTACTAAGTTTTGACAGAATTTGGAGCTTTCTCAGTTTGACATGTTATGCAATTGTGACATCCAATTGATATCTTACATTGCGCGTGGGATTGTGTCACGTGCTTGCGTAACTGACAGGTGATGCATTGTGATCGCTATTCGGAAGTGACATATTGAATTTAACGAAACTAATCATTGCACAATATTATTTAAATATAACTAAAAAGTAAGATGACAAATGTTATTCATTCATACGAGCCGAGCTCTTCAATCTCCATCTAATAGGCTACTGCTGACTCACCACAGTTTTGGTCTGTGATGTGCTAGTGTAATTATATATTCATGGGCGAAAAACTTCAAAACGCACACCTTACGACTAAATAACACTTATAACAGTAATAAAGTTATTTGTCTGGGTATTCAATGACAGTCAACAGTTAACACCTCCTCGCAGCAGGCCATCCCTGAGCCGGCGCATTGCTCTCTAATCCTATCAGCACAGAAACACAAAGGAGGTAAACATGTGTGAACCAGTCTTACTTTGGTGGATATCTTTACCGGGCCCGTGGCGACAAGCTTTACGGACCTCGCTGTAAAATCATCTTCCTCCGGTGCCCGGTGACACAGTGCACTGGTTCTGCAGCAGCTGCTCCCTCCTTCAGTCTGTTGTGGAGGAAATCCCTTTGAATGGCAGCTGAAACTACCAATAAGCGGCGAGCTGAGTGGGCCACCGTGTATATCTTATCCAATCAGAGGCTAGACTTACAGCTCGAGGTGCAGGATCACTTCAGTTCAGAACCACAGGAGCTGTCCAGAGAAAAACGCGGCGGCAGGATTCAGGTAACCTAACCTGTGCGTCACCTGCCAGCCTATTAGTACAGCAAAGGTTCAAGATGCGGTCAGGGGACCACCAGGAGGCCTTAAGAGGTGTCCATGTCTGTTATCGTGGATGTTTATTTTAATTCTGAAAAAGGTGAGGATCCCTAGCTATTACCCCATCAAATATAGTTTCTCCCCAGGTCTTTATCTACATCTACCTCAATTGATGAAGTTTGATCATGTTATCATTTTTTTCAGGTTAAACCATCTAACCAGCTATCAGGCCTGTTATCTTGATAATTGTAGTTTGATAGAGTTCGTACAATTCCATATAATACAGCCTGTTAATTTTAATATTTGTAAAATTCAATATATTTCTGGGATTCTTCATTAATCGTTCAAGTTGATGAAGCCTATTGACAAGACTGGCAGACAAACTGTTCAGAAGATAACAAAATAAACCTTTCTCAAACTTCTATGTATGGTGCTACAGTAAGGTTTATGAGTTTGGTACTGGTCTGCATTACACCAACTTTCTCAAAACTACATTAATACTTCTCTCCACTTGGGGGCAGTGGGAACAAGCTATAGACACAACATCGGCATACAATCAGCCACCTTGTGAAATTAGGATATAAGGGCTAAACCAGTGGTAACAAGGTTGTGATTGGCCCCCGGTGCAAATATTGTTTTGAAAAAAAAACGGTCTAATTTCGTCAGTTTAGCAGTTACATCTCCTTGTTCTCTCTTGTCCTTTCTCTTTTGAGCGCCGCTCTTGTGCTTTGGTTTGCTGTACATTATAAATGCAAGCCATTACATTTTTATAATGCTGCAGAACTTGCTGCTGCTAGCTACAGTACAGTACAGGTTGATTAAACGGTTCGCTAGTCACGCAAGGTATCACATGACATGAAAGGGAGCAAGGTCATTGGACAGACAAATTACAAATTAATTTAGGTTGCTTGGTTACTTTGAAGACTGCGTGAACCGGTCAGTGCCATTTTTTTTTGTTGCATGGGCCCCTGGCCGGCTCTGGGCCCCGGTTACGCCACTGGGCTAAACAAAACAGTTTTCCATCAATACATCCAGCAGATACAGAGCAGGTTTAAGAATTGGAGAAATACAATTTGACGGTATAATAATATTAAGAGTTTATGAATACAAATAAACTCAACAGCATTTCTTAATGTATCTTTTTCCTCACCGAGTTGATTAAAGATGAATCTCAGTCAATAGATGACATGTATAGACGTGTAGCCCATTCTGGAAACCAATTTTATTCCATATGAATTTTACTACAAAAACATCAAGTCAGTAGAAAAATAAGCTTAAACAAACCTGTAGCGTTAGCACTGAGGAATATCAGTACCAAACATGCAACCAAAACTTTTCATTCCATGTCAAATTGTCTTGGCAAGTGATCCAAACTAGAAGAACATTATATATTTGAGGTAAAAAAAAAAGGACATGGAGAAAAAGTCATCAGAATTCATTTCAGAAGCACTGAACTGAAGAGTCAAGAATATGTGAAATTATGGCAAGCCGCTTTAAAATAGATAAAGGATCATTAGCAAGGAAAGGATACATCCCAATCACTTGTTTCATAAGTCCGTGTTAAAAGAGTGAGAGCTGTTGTGGGGGTGACATGCTGTATCCCACATGTAGCGTCCTTTATGGAAAACAAGTCAGCTAAAGGAAAGTCGTTCAGCACTCAAAGTGTGTCCTGCAGGTCTTTTAAAACACTGTCCTGTCCACATTCTCATGCCTCCCCTGCTTGTTCTGCTTCAACGCTCACCATTTCACCCTCCACCTCTACCTGAGAGTTCACCACCTGCTGCCCATCCACTTCAGTTGTGGTCACATGCACCACCTGGATTTGCACCCCGGCCTGCTTTAATCTTTCCACGTCCTCCTCACACATCTCCGTCACCCCTCCGTCCTCCACCAACATTGTCGTAGTCTCCTCCATCTCCATCTCCATCACGTCCACGGGCTCCACTGTGACGTGTTCCACCTGGATCCCGTCATCCAGCAGGACAGTTTCCGTCCCTTCTATGCTCTGGGTTGCGATAGCGAGTGCGGCGGAGGCGACAGAGTCGGTGATGACTACTTCTTCTATTGATTTGTCGTCCTCAATGGAGTGCACGTGTTTGAGGTGGGTCTTTAGTTCTTTGGGGTGGGTAAACCACAGGTCACACATGGTGCAGTGGTTTGGCTTGTCGCCTGTGTGGCTCACAAGATGGTCTTTGAACTCGTCCCATCTGTTGAATACACTGCTGCAGACCTGATGATGGAGGAAAAAAAAGTCATTCGATTTCTTGATTTGACAATTTTGTTTAACTAATAATTGTATAATTATTATTATTATTATTATAGCTGTTTTAAGCTCTGAGGCAAATGAGGCCGTAAAAAAAACCAATCACCTGTCAAGCACACCGGCCAGGCGGACCAAGTTTATTAATAACATTGATAGTCAGATATAGGGCTGGGCAATATAAAAATATGATATTTGTATTGTGATAGGAGACTAGATATTATCTTACATTTGGATATGTCTTATCATTGTCGTTTCTGTTTCATAACAGTAATGTGATGTCAAGTTTTGAACATACCAGAGCTCTAGCTGTTTATATATAATTTGCCTTGCCCATTTAGTCATTACATTTACATTACTGATGATATATTTATCAAAAATCTCATTGTGAAAATATTTTGTAGAAACAGCAATAGTAAATCAAAAATGGAAAGTACTTATACACTCTTGACGACTCCTCAAAGCTCTTTACATACATGTCACGATTATACAGAGCAATGTGCCATTTTTGCTCAGGGAATCTAACATTCATACCTCAGGAGCAACTAGGGGTTAAGTATCTTGGTAAAAGATAAATCAACGTGTTGACCGTACTGGGCTGGGATCGAACTCACAACCTTCCGGATAAAAGACGACTGCAATCGCTTTCAGCCATAGTCAACCTGATGTAACGCCTACAATATCATCGCAATATAGCTAATATCGCTATTGTTGTTTTTGGTAAAGAAAAAAATACATGATATTTGATTTTCTCCATATTGCGCAGCTCTGTGCAGATATACATTACATTACATTTGTTGTGTTAATTTTGTAAAAGAAACTATGATGAAATACGTTTATCAATTCCCCCTTAATTCAGTCCATGACAAAACGGTGCCAACTTCATTAAACACCAATTATGACTTTATCATATCACAGAATGTCTGGGTGTTATGTCTTTGTGAAGTAAATAAATAAATACATACAATGTGAAAGAAGCGGGAAATTTTTGTTTCCTACTATAGACGCCGCACTGGCAGGTCAGCACTTGATGGCCTCGATACTGAACAAACTGTACCTGGCATTCGTAGAGTTTCTTGCGTCCCTTCTTGGCTCCGGCCCCATCCTGACAGGCTGCCATATGGCACTTCAGTGTGCTGTTCCTTGCAAATCGCTCATGGCAAGCTGGACACTCGTAAGGTTTTTCACCTACAGATAGGACATATAAAGCCAAACATGTATGTCAAAGCTTGATGTATAAAACATTAACAATGCATTATTATTAGGGCTGTCAGTCGATTAAAATATTTAATCGCGATTAATCGCATGATTGTCCATAGTTAATCGCGATTAATCGCAAATTAATCGCACATTTTGTATCTGTTCTAAATGTACCTTAGAGGGATATTTTTCAAGTTTTTAATACTCTTATCAACATATGAGTGGACAAATATGCTTTATATGTTTGTTTATTATCATTTGAAAAATGACAAATATTCTCATGAATATTAAACACAACAACCTCTGAACATTACAAATATTCGCCTCAATTCAACCTGGAACCTCTCTCATACAATAATACAATACAAAGTGTGTGTGTGTGTGTGTATGTGTGTGTGTGTGTGTGTGTGTGTGTGTGTGTGTGTGTGTGTGTGTGTGTGTGTGTGTGTGTGTGTGTGTGTGTGTGTGTGTGTGGAGACACTGTGGAGACACTGTGATGGATCGTTGGAGCTACAGTATGTGCAGCTCAAGGCATATATGCTCGAACGGGAGCTGCAATCATGTTGCGCGTACTATCCGTGCTGAGTGTGCTGACTTTTCGTACAATGTCCCACTGTCTGGCTACCTGCATAAAGTCAAGTGCTCGGCGCAGTTGTCGGCGAAATGTCATTGAAACAGCTCCTTATATCCGTTAGCGCAGCTAGCTAGCACCAGATGCTAACAACAACACGTAAGGTGTGCCTCGCTCGCGCGAGTCGCCCCACACATACACACCCTCCCGGTCCTCCCGATGGCCAGTCCGGGCCTGCCGGTGAGCGTGGAAGTGTGGTCTGCCACAAGCGGGCGCAGGAGCGGGGCTGTCAGCATCAGCTTGTAGATGGTATTTTAAACTCGATGCGCTCTGAAACTACGGGGCGGCCGAGGACAAAAAATACACATGCGTTAATCGCGTTAAAATAATTAGTGGCGTTAATTTTTTTTTTGCGTTAACGCGTTATTAACGCGTTAACTTGACAGCCCTAATTATTATAGATTGTACTCATTTCAATTTGAAGCTTTATTTCCATTCTTACCAGTGTGCTTCCGCAAGTGCTCCTTAAAGTGGCCGAAGTGGTCAAAGTGCTTTTTACAGTATTCACAAACATGTACTTTCTTCTGGGGTTTCTGGTTTTGAGACAACTCTTCTGCATCAAAATGAAACGTGTTGATGTGCTGCTTCAAGGCGCCTTCTCGCGTGTAGGCTTTCCCGCAGTGGTCGCACACGTGGGGTTTTTCCAGCGAGCCCAGGTGTGTTTTCAAGTGCTGTTTCAGGTGGTAGTATAACTTGAAGCTTCGATCACACTTGTTGCAGCGAAACATGTTGTCCACTTGGGAAATCTGGACTTCTACGACCTCGACATTCTCCAACACTTTTGAGGCAGTCACTGTTTCCTCCTGATACACAACCTCCTGCCAAGCACAAACATAAAGAAGGTAGGGTTCATCCTTTCAATCTTACTGTTACTTAATGTACCATAAGAACATGAAACTCAGCTTATATTAAGGTTTGTACAATTAAAAATCAACAAACCTCCTCTATTCCTTCCTTCCTAATGATATGTAGCGCAGGTTCCCCTTGTTGATACTTGCTGGTTATGTCAGCCAGAAGGGCCAAAGCAGAGTCATCTGACGCCTGAGCATTCCTCGCTGCATCCACCACCTCCTCCAGTCCAGTCTCCTCCACTTCGATGGCCCCTTCCCCTATTACCTCAATCTCCACCTGGAGAACAGACAGCATTCAGTCATTACAGTCCAATGCATGGACACAGTAAGGGCCACTTGTGTTTACTTCAATAAATCGATGTACCAACAAGAACAAATCTTAGTGGTGGAAAATTGCACTGATATTTCAGCTGATCTTATTGTCCACTGCTTTGCAAGGAATTACATCTCCATGAGTGTGACCACCACAAAGTTACTGACCTGTTCCCCTTCCACTGAAGGTAGGGTTTCTGTAATCACATTGGATGTCTCAGCTATTTTCCTCTTTTTGCCTTTGCTCTTTGCCGTCAGCGATGGATTTTCATGTATCCTACAGAAGCAGAGAAGCTCTTGTTGAGAGGTAACAATGTTTATACAAAGAAGGCCTGCAAACAATTATTTTCTAGCTCCTCAAATCTTTCACCACTGAATTTGTGAATTAAATATTTTGAATTCTAATAGTGACAATAATGCAAGCATTATCTGTAGTGATAGGTAAAATGTTTGCATGTGGTACTCACTTATTGTTGAGCGCTTTGATGGCCTCCTGCATTTGGAGGTATTCTGCAGCCTTCCAGACGTCAAAAGCATCCTCCTCTCCAACTACAACTAATGTTGCTGTGTAAGTGAACTCCATCAGTTGGCGAAAGGCTGTGTTACTCACTCCTGTCAGAGCAAGACACAACAGCACTTGTGAGTTAAAGCTGTTATTTATAACATACTAACAAACACAGTAACATATATTGGACTACTTTTACTTGATTAAAACACATAATACCTTCTATCTCCACCAGTGGCTCTTGGGTAAAATCCTGAAAGAACTTATGGAAAAACTGACTGCATGCTGCCAACACTGCTTTGTGGGCTCTGAACTGATGTCCTGCAAGAGACAAGAGACATGCATATATAATACATTGCTCAGGATTTAATCATAAAGATGAACTATTATATAGTATATATGCCTACTTACCATCCACAATCAAGGTAATGTCCGTGAACTGGTCTAGCTGCCGTTGTTCATTAAGTTTGTCCATCATGACTTTGTAATGCGCTGGGTACTCATCGCCCTCCAGCTCCACCTCCACCTCAGCCGCCATTATTGACCTTATCCTTTTCTATGCAGAATGGAGGAAGATGGACATACAATTATTAACACAGCTATTAGCTACACCGAACATCTCACACACCTCACAATGTACTTTGATTGACCTGGCTTCCTAGATCGATTTTTCATAATTGTTTTCAATTCTTCTAAGGACAAAAGACAAGAGATTTAAGCATTTTAAAACACATAAGAACACATTTGGTGTACTTAAATGATGATAAACAAACCCTAAAATAAATTGTATTTAATATTTAGGGCTGTATTTTCTGGCTCCATAACTTAGTTTTCATTCATGGGTTTTACATCATGATCAAACCTCCAATAAATAGCCAACATAAACAAAATAGGGTGTCATGACCTCACTGAGACCAACCTGACATGAGATCTGAGTGTGAAACCTCTGATTAACCACTGCACTGCAGTCAATTGAACCCCACATTGTTCAAATATAACAAAGTTAGAAAAGTGCTGCCCCTTTATTCATATTCCCACATTGCACTTGCACAACCACACATCTCTTATCTTACTCAGTTTGTTTCTACCTTACATTGCAGGCAATAAGGAAACGACCTGACATGTCTCTTTACAGGTCATTTTAGAATAATAACAAAGTCACGAGTTTTGTAAGTCCGAATACTATTAAACACTAAAGGAGACAACACAAAAACACATTGGGATTTGAGAAGAAGCTAACATGTGTTAAAAGCTCTGCAAGTTTGCCAACATTTCGAAAAAAAAGATAACATAACATGTCAAATGAACGCATTTAACATTTTGGTCAAAGCATCGCTGAATTGTCTGTTTTAGAGCGCAGCTGACAGAGGGGAAATCATCTGAAGTTCAAAGCTTAATAAAGGCTCTACATGGCAACAACATTGCACAGAGGAAGTCAAAGTATGGGCCCATTACAACCACATCACAAGCTGGTATAACGTTACGCCAGCCGATAACTGATAATCACCTTGTGAAATAAAACAAGTAACCCCTGCCTAATTTTAAGAGCTAACCCTAACCCTTTCCTGTCACACAAGAAGACGGGCACATATTTCAACCAATAACCCCACACATGGGTGTTCATTTGGCTAACAACTTTGCTAGTTCAGCTCGACATTAGCTTAACTTGCTAACATACACTCCTATCCCACAGAAGAACAAAAAAAAGAATTTACCAGACTCGAGGCATAGACAACCAAAGCCCAGCACTCCAGGCATGGATAGCCCCGTGTACTCGTTTAGATACCGGAACATGAAGGATATAAACATGGTACAAGCCCAGAGTGTCGCAGGTAACGGGCCTCTTAGCACGCTCGCCATTTCGCGTTTGACAATCAACATTACGTCATCAAACCGCGCATTAAAATACACTTTTCCCGGACAGATTTCTTAATTATAACCTCCGTGGAACAAAATGCACCCTACAAACCAGCGATATGCATACCTGCAGTATGGTTACAATGCTTCAGAAAGTTGTTTTGCGATAATATTTCCCTCGACTCATGTAGCGCTGTTCTTCTCTCGTTGCTCCAAAAAGGGCGGTCGTTCTTCAACCGTAGAGCCTCGGATTCCCAGAAGCCATTGCGAATTCAAGGACGCGGAAAAGCGTTGCTTAGTGACGGCGGTGAGTGACGACTTTTTCTAGCTTCTTTATCAACTTTTAGCAAACTAACTACCAAACTGAATGCAAGTGTATTCAGGTGTATTAAATGGTACATGTATCATCTACTGATTCAATAGTAAGAAGAATGACAATGCTTCAAAATAACCCCACAATTACCTTAAATGTTAGAGCCTGTTGTTACAGAAAGTTACTATTATTATAGTATGCTTAGGTTGTAGACTACTAGGTTAATGTATATTGCAATGTACGACAGTTTATGTATCAGTGTTACTGTATAAGCAGGGTCAAATCTGCATTGAGATGTTTACTTGAGACCAAACCATGTTATAAGAAAAAAAATAAATAAAAAAGGTCTTGCTTAAAATATAACTAAAGAAGAGGCATGTTCCTGTTTAATATTTCCTGTTCTCATTTGCCATCAAAATGCTATGGACAGGGTCAGCACTCAGACAAAAGCTAAGTTCTGATGCATTACCACTGAAGCTTGTACAAACTATTTACTTATCAACATTGAATATACATATTCTACAAAGCACAGTCACATCCAACAATTAGTTGGACCCGCTTATTGAAACACTACAAAATAACCAAACAATCTAATACTTACATAGCTTAAATCAGGGGTGTCGAACTCAATTTCATCTCGGGCCACATTAGCATTATGGTTGCACTCAAAGGGCCAGTTTTATATATAAGACTATAAAAAAATACATATATAAATATTTAATATAAAATAATGTATTATAGCCTATTACATTATTGCCTCTGAATTGGATTATTATCGGATAGGGTAATAACTTCATAATTAACTACGTCTGAAAGCAGAGGTCTAGGGCAAATAATTGCAAGTCTCTTCAGTGAGCATTTGACAAAATGTTTAAAAAGAAAAGCCAAATTCTGGAAAAAAAGTCAAAATCAAATCAAAATAAATGACATTTAAAAAAAAAAAGAGTGATATTTTGAAAAAAAAGTAACATTCTGAGAAAAAGGCAAATTCTAAGAAAAAATGAATATTTTGAAGAAAAATAGTAAAATTCTGAGAAAAAAGGCAAATTTGAGATGCATTGTGGGACATGTAGTTGATGGGCAACGTGCTTCTGTAAATCGGCATGTAACCGTATAATAAACATATAATATTCTTTGCAAGCTCTTGTGGGCCACAGAAAATGAAGTCACGGGCCGGATTTGGCCCCCGGGCCTTGAGTTTGACACCCCTAGCTTAAATGGATGAGTCCCCATTTGTCATGACCTGGCTCAGGCAGTCACAACAAAAAGGGAGACAACACAATTTGCGTTTAAACAATACTTTATTAACCAAATTAAATAACCAAATTAATAATATACCAATGAAGTGTGATAAACAATAGAGTCAGTGGTGTGTGCAGCGCATGGTTGAAGAAGGTGTGAGTGTGAGTGAGTGTTGTAAAGTGCAAACAAAGCAAGAGATAAACCAACCAAACCAAAGTCTGGCTGTGGAGACAGCCAGCATTTAAATACCTCAGCACACCAGCCTATGAGCTGCATTTGGGTAGCTGAGGACCTGCAGGTGAGAGGCAGAGGTTAGAGAGCCTCACCAGATTGCAATGGCAGAGAGACTCGATGATGTCCCCACGGGGGCATCACACTAGATAACACATGTGTTATCTTAAGTTTGTGTGCATCATTACTATCCATTCAGATCTCTTGAAACGTACTGATATACATTCTAATATGCAGGTCAGTGTGACCTGATAAAGAAAAAGTATCACAGTGCCAGACACTGTAAATGAGGTTGGTTGATGGATGCTAGACCTCACTCCTGGCATAAGACACTGATACCATAATTTACTCTGGACACAGTAGCCTGTGTTCTGCTGCACCAAATTTTACCTTCGTTCATATCTGTTTTGTGACCTTGACCAAATGTAACTTCTACCTTGGGATTTTTGTTGTGTGTAATGCTTTTTGTGTATTCCGGCTGCAAGTTGCAGCCCCAAATGTTAAAGGCATACTACTAACATTGCTTGATACAGGGTTTGACTCACATCATTCTGGCAGAACTTCTGAAATCAGCACAAGCAGCAGAAAATTAACTATGCTATTTGTGTATATCGCTATCTCTTATATTTAAATGGAAGAATTAGAGAACCTAGAGGGTGATGGAACTATGACCCTGAACCCCAACAACACTGCATACATCCCAAAAAAACATCATGAAGAAAAACCAACAATTGTATACACCCTAACAAGCTGCAAATGTAGCACATATTGCAGGGTTATTTTATTCACTTCTGTCATATTGTGCAGCTTGCACTTTTATTTATTGTTTAACATTACATTTGTTGGCCTCGTTTAAAACTGACCTTAGCAATCTTATAACAGCATGACCTTTATCTGCAGAGAGACAACTAACCTGCAAGATTGGACTGGCTGTTTACAGTTATTTTATATACTGTAACTGCAGATGAACTGTCCCTTTAATGCAGTGGTATTATGCAATAATTTCTTCCTAACCAACATTTTAACAGGAATAAAATGTGTCTCCAGAATATTTTGGTAGAGCAACTGAAGCTATGCATTAGGGAACATTTGAATAATCTTTTTATGAAGCTGCTGTCTTTTGTCATTCTTTGGCCCTCCCAAATCCCTGATGTATGATGTTCATACCCTAAACTATATTATTTGTATACATGAGCTCCCATCTTCAGTACACTGAATACATACTAATATTGTCCTGCTTCTACTGTCCGTGTACCAAACTGAATGATACTTTACTCCAGAATGCTTTAATCACGCACTTGTGTATATTGTCTGGCTGTGTTTCTTTTGGACCCTTCCCACAACTGACTAGAGTCCCACCCCCTGTCCTTTTTCACTTCCCCCTCTCTGTGCTGTTAGTGAAAAACAGAATTGCACAATGTTCTTCTCTGTTCATGAAGACTCATAAACTCTTTAATATAAATAACACAATGTAAAACCAGTTCATTCATAATGCAAATACATGCACTATCTACACGGCTGCCATATCTTAACCAGCAGTATGAGAGGCAACTCTTCTCGAAATACTACACTCTTGAAGGAATTTGTCAAATATGTAAATGTTGTAAAATATTTTACACTGAATAACACTTTGTACACTGTCAAAAAGGATTTTTATGCACTGTGACTTTTTTAACTCAAGAAAAGTGTTTGCATCAGCAGACAGCTGGGGCTGAACTTTGTCCTACCCCCAGATAGGAAAACAACAGGCAGGGTATAAAAGGGGGGAGAAGTGGAGGAAGAGACTTGTTTTGTTCAGGGAGTTGCAGCAACGCAGAACTGAGCAGAGAGAAGGACACTTTTTAAACTAAGGGTAAGTGACCAAAGTCATTACATTTCATTTACAGCTGTGATTATTAAATGGATATATGAGACAGGACCTATTATTATTGCAAAATATTGTTTATAAATGTTCTTATTTTGAATGCCGTGTCTCAATGTATCCCACTTATGCCAGCCACAGAACCATATCCTACTTTATGTTATATTTCATGTTATGCATGTTGTACATGTACATACATTGCAGATAATACATTGCATAAATGTTAAGCTTTATGCTTTTAACACTCAAGCATTATTCCTGCTTGTGTGCTGGTTCGTTCTATTTTGCCATACAAACTCTGCTATAGTTATTTAGTTATATACAGTCATTTTAGAATTATCGTTGGAGGATTTGGAGAATGTAAAATTGATAACCTTTAGTGAACTTTTGTACAATCCTATCACAAACAAAGATTGACCAATCTCTGATGTCCCACCCCCCCTTTTCCCTTATTTCACCATTTCCCAAACTCCTCCCCCCATCTCCTCACAATCCCCTTTCTCTGTGCTCAGCAGATTTGGGAGGCACCACAGGGATGAGGGTGTGCCTCAGCCTGCTCATCACTCTCTGCCTGCTCCATGGGGGCGGAGCAGAGAGCGATGGGGGAGGGCCTCGCTGTCAGCTGCCTCCAGCCTGGAAGATAGGGGAGCAGGAGCCAATGCAGGGGGCGATGGGCCATGTGACGGTGGTGGCTCTTTTACAGGCCAGCTGATTATTCTGCTTGGTGCAGGCTTCCAGGTATGCACCCACTGTGTGTTAACCAATTTGCACCTCAACCTGTTGTTATGCACTTCTGTCTTTCAAGAAAAAACCCAGTTTACATTTCATCGCAACTAGAGCCCTAAATGTGACAAAGCATGACATTCACACACTATGTGGTTATTTATTAAGTGTTTCTTTAATGTTATTAGATATTTAACAGCCACAATTAAATGTTATGGCTCATTTTGAAAAGCTTGCCAAGTTGGCAGCAAGGTACAGCTGGCCCAGACTAGTCTTTCTTATGCAACTGTGAAAAATATAACTGTCAAAGAAGTGTATCATGTTTGTTAAGCAAAGTATCCAGGTGAGCTTGATTAACACATTCATTCTAAACTATGATTTATCTCATCTGAGCAGAATGGACGGCCTGCGCCAGAAGCTGGAGAGTCAGGGTCTGAAGGACGTTGTGTACATGGTGGTTAACCAACAGGGGGAGCAAGCACAGCGCCTGCACACCATGCTGGAGCAGAGACTGTCAGAGAACATCACACTCCACAAACAGGACGAGCAACAGCCTGATGTCTGGCAGGCACTGGGCGGGGAGAAGGACGACTTTCTCATTTATGACAGGTTTGTTACCTGTAGTGGTTAGTTCATTCACAATCCACAAAGGAAATCAATTCTGTTTCTTACCATGTCTTCTTCTATCCCTTATCCATCAGGTGTGGCCGTCTCACCCACCACATTTCTCTTCCATACTCCATCATCGGACAAGGACATGTTGATAGTGCGATCAAAGACACCTACTGCAAACGCATATGTGGCGACTGCAGATATGAGGTATTAACCAAACATAAGTGCAATAATACAATAAAACAAACAATACATTATACAAGTCCTCAATAAGCATGTTGGAACACATTCAATCAAAGATAAGAACATTTACTGAAATCCCTTTGGATCTATTTTCTCTTCTCCCTACCTCTCCACAGAGCACTGAGACAGCAGAGGAGTGCAAGGGGAATGCAGACACACAGCCTGACACTGCCCCAACCGTAGAGGGAGACACTGGGCATGCTCACCATCATGGACATCACCATGGCCATGCTCACAGCCATGGTCAACACCATGGAAACCATGATGGAGCTGATCAGCAAGGTGTTAGACAACAGGGGCATGAGCAACTTGGTGGGGTTTCACAAAGGCAAGATCGTTTAGATTTAGGCCAGCAAGCAGTGAATGAGCAGCAGATGGCACAGCAGGCACATGTGGCCTTTGTCAGGCCCTGAGTAGCAGAGAAGGCTAGGTGAAAGTCAAAGCACAGCTGACAGTGGACAGCAGGCTCTGACAATGAAGCCTCTCCTAAGGCCAGCTGATGCTGACACTGACGCAGGCTGTTTGGTGAAGCAGGAAGTGAGCAGCCAGTCAGTCTGTGACACTGTGACGAGGTGTTGCCCGCCTCCTGACAGTGACACGGACTGATAGGCGATGCAGTCAATAATGTTAGGGAGACCTGACAGTGACGCCCGCCTCCTGCTGACTGACAGCAGGCTCAGCCAACCCAATGAGCCTGACCCCCAGGTGTGAGCTGAGGATGAGAGCAGCTGTAGGCTGCCTCGGAAATCAGCCTCATTTTAAAACCAGCTAGAAACACCGGGGCCAAGCGCTCTCTTTACCAACAAGTATTACCCTGGGAGAGGAACGAGCAATCCCTCATAGAATGCATTTGGGATAGATAAACATGAGTCCAACATTACACTGAAAAAAGATAATATAAATTACAATTGGCAATAAATATGCAAATCATTTGGTTTTGCATTAAGCATATATGCCATGTTTCACCTCCCACTGCATGTCTGTAGGTGGGTTGCTCTCGTCCTTTTCCAGGATAGTGTGGTTTTCATGTTTATAAACGGCCTTCTCCATTTTGCTCTCTCCTTCCGTTATGAAACCAGGCGCAGAAACTATGCTCTAGTGGTGTCTGTATGAAGTCAGGCAGGAGAGGGAGGAGAAGGTAGTTCAGGAGCATGATAAACCCTTTGAACATTTTAAAGTTCAGAATCAAAATATGTTTGACAACCCAGAAGAAATTGATATAATCTGCAAATTCTGAAAAAAACAATTGGCATATTAGGTAATCACGAGAAATCAGTATAACATATTTTAGTTTACGCCACATTTGTCCTTAAAAAACATTTTAAAGCAAGTCTAAATGTTGTCTGCATCACAAGCTTTTAATCATTGTTCTTGAGCACATATAACAGCAGTAATTACCATGAATGCTTTTCTTTTTGATTTGAACCTAAAGTATGCAAGCCTTACACTATACAGTAAATCAGCTGTGGTGGCATTTACCACAAAATGCAACATCTTTAAGATGGCATTCCTGTCTGTATGTTTCTCTGCATTTTCTAGACTTGCTAATAAGTAGGTTGCAAATAGCACACATAAAAAAAGAAAAAGAAAACAAGACTCTATTGTTTAGAAAAGGGTAGAGGGAAAATGAAAGTGAAGCAATGACTGTTGGAATACACTCTGTACTTAATGATGGTTTTTTTGGGAAGATAACAGTAACCTTGAAAACTTGATGCTTGCACGGAGAACTGTATTATGTTAAGGCTGTCAAGCATGGAAACTGAGCGCTGAATAAAGATTGTTGAGTTACTATTAGAGCGTGTGTGTCTGTTCTTGTCAAAGATAAACATAATAGTCAGCAGTGAAGGTATACATTTAAGCAGACGGACTTTAAAATGTGCTGTGTAAGACATAAGGTCTGGGGGGAGTGCCTCTGGGTGGTATTTGACAACTATCCTGCACATGCCTGAGGAGCTGGACGCATGTGACTTCAACAAAGCAGAGGGATCACATTACCTGCAATACTTGTACAATCATGATCTACATAAGAGCAGGCCATTTAAGACTAATAAACAGATCTTAAGTCTTTGTCCCCCTTATTGTTTTTAAGTAGATGAAATTGTCTTCATGAATACATTTTTAAGATTTACATAAAGATTGCTTTTAAACTGTCTTTTATAGTATTTGTCACCAGATGGCGATGAAGGTCTGCACAATAAACCAGCTGAGAGTTTAAAGAGCAAATGGGCTCATATACTGTGGGTTTACCAACTTCTTTGAAAACTCCACCAAGAGGGCTTTTAACACAAGTATACTTTGAGTTTAAAGCGTTTACTTAAGTTACATTCATTTTAATTGACTGTTCTAGATTTTTTATATTGGCTTTATGTCTCCATTTTCCTCTGTAAACACGTGCAAACAAATGCTATTGACTTTCTGGTGGTTCAAGGTATCCTGATTTGTGCATGCACGCTTATGTCACATGTCTGGTGCAGCACAAGTAGTCCACAAGGGAAGAGAGTGGGCTCATCATTTCAGAAAAGGCTTTCAGTTAAGTGGAAGTAATTTCAAATGGAAAATGAAAGACTAAATCCAGTTTGCCAGATGTGGTCTTCTCTTTAGTTCCTTAACTGTGTATCTTGCATGTGACATATATGCATACACTAATTGTAGATTGCTGATGCATTTTTAGTTTTGATGATATCATCCAAAGTATGTAGCAGTGGAAAACACAAGATCTTTTTATTTTCAAATTAAACGGTCCAATTGGTTTGTTGTTGTGGTATTATTTGTTTGTGTTTTTTTTACTAATGTGCCACCAACAAGAGAAGCATCTTAACCTCATTTTGCAACACTTATATAATGGTATCAACATACAGCTTGCAGCCTGTGAAAATGTCTTCAGGTCTTAAGGCGCAACACCCTCTCCTCTGTGTAATATATCTGAATTGCCTGTCTGACTGTGTCTGAAAAGGTCAACAAGCATCCGGAGGTAATAAATGAAGCCGAGGTGGACTAACTGTGTGGGCGTAATTGGGCTGAAGATCCAATACAGGGGAACAGTGACTTATGGGTAATTACCTGCAATGTCCTGAGACGAAGAGCTGTGAGTGTCTGTCTCTCTGATTCAATCAGCCCCACACAGAGCAGGGCAATACTCAGCCTCTGTCTTAATTGTCCAATATGCTTTCCTCCGATGCACAACTGTTTCTGCAGCCATTTCCTCTCCACTTACTCCAGCAGCAGGCAGAGAGAGAGAAAGATAGGGAGAGAGAGAGAGAGAGAGAATGACACACTTATGGACTCATTCACACACACAGTGGCCCTGTGTTGCTCACAAACAAGTACACATTGTCCACCCTACCATCACCACACATACATGCATAAAACGCTTATTCTTCTCTCACAGACACACAAATATAATTTGCCATCCACATTGGTCTGTACATTTTCTTCATTAACATCCTCTTCCTCCACTGAGTGCTGATCTGAGCTGACCTTTGCTGTGCAGTATGCTGCTCGTGTACTTTTAATGAAACAGTTGGCATTGAGTTAAGGAGGTCTTTTAAATAGAGTTTGGAGTATAACATTTTAAATTGAATCCTTGATAACATTATGTTGTAAATTAAATTACAACCAGTAACATGATTTTGATAAGTGGAATCTAAGAGAAAATCAAATTGGTTTCATTTACTTTTGCTTTACCAACACTGATAATGAATGATTGGCCAAATATAATACCGGGGTCATTTTAAGGGGTGTTTTCAAAAACACATTCAAATGATTTTGAAAGCATAATTAGAAATGTAAAACATAACGTTGACATTTTTTATTTTATTTCTGTGGACAACTTATTACAAAAGAAAAAACATGCACAATTTGATTTAGAGGCTGTCTATACATTTATTGTGTACATTTTTGAAGGCTCATCGATCACACATACAACACCAGAAAGGCTCATCAAGATCAACACATTTTGGCCTTCAGTAAAACAGCAGCTTACAGATAAAGACAGTGGCTCCAAAGTCGGGGGTTGGATGGACGGGGGGGGGGGGGGGGGCAAAGTCATATCGATTATGAAGCTAAAGTAAAATGATGAATCATGGTGTTCAGTTTTCCACATATGCTATGAAATGCATCTGCAATGCAGCTGTTTCTGATTCTGACAAGTAGAATAGTTTGAATATCTCCAGTTTGACAAGCCGGGACACATGTCAGAGAATAACAGTGCACACATTACTCATGCTGCCCCTCCACCGTGGTCAGATTAGGTGGTGGGAGGATCTAAGGGCTCGCAGATAGATAAATAACACATGGAAAGAAATATAGAGTGGAGCCACTGAACAAAGTCTGATGCTTTACTTAGGTCAAGAATTAAACTATTTTCCCAACAATCTGAAAAATGTCAAGCGAGACGCTCTGTGATAAAAAAAAAAGATACAACCAGCACAAATTCCAGCTCAAGATTACTTGCAGGCTTAACAGATCGACAAAAGCCAACCTTGATCCTGTGCAAAGCAAAAAAGATGGATATCAAAACACATCATTATAAAACATTGTAGCACCTTCAAATTGACTTTTTAATGATGAAATGCTCAAATCACATAGTAAGAGAACTGTAAGAGTTACAGTTTAACCATTTCACGTTGCCTATATTTGTATACGACTTCATAAAAGACTACATCTATCTGCTTTATGTATCCATAATCCTATAGGAAACATTAAATACTCCATTACAGTACATCATTCTATGAATCTGGTAGTGTAAAATATGTCCCATAAACATCAAATTTGTAGGACAAAACTGAAGCTTATCAATATTAAAATAGTCTGATCATTGTGCTAAATAAAAATAATAATGCTATTTTAAAATAAAAGGCTATTCATATACTTGATTTAGTCCAAAATACAAAAATCTGAGTACTATTTTAAACATGATATATATATATATCTTTATATATGTGTGTGTGTACAAAGTGCTTGCTGTAAAGTGTCTTTAACATTTATAAGCTTGAAATGAGAGTTGCAAACCTTTACACTACATTAAGAATAAGCTTATTGTGAACTGGCAAAAAAAAGAAAAGAAAGATATTGCAGACACAATGTGGTAAACACCAGTACAGTAAGCCTGAAAATATAAAGCACCTGCAGATTCATCTTCCTCACTGTAACCTTTAAAAAACACTCAGTGATCAAACATTTTGTTTTTACAGATTTTCCTTGATATCGTAATTGCATTGCATATTCCAGTTTGCACACATTCACCACGGTAAAACTGAAGCAGTGCTTTTCCCTTGAACCGTTCTTCCGTCATATACACAGAGGGCATTAAGGGGATCTTTGGATGGCTGTGAACACTGTCAAAGTTAGATGAGCATCATTAGTGACTATATAACATATTTACTTTGCGGCAAAACTGATATAGCGTTACTGCTGTTAACTGAACAAATAACTAAAGCAAATAATATCTTCCCGTTGCTCCCAGGCAAGAGACCGGTTTCAGTATCATCCTCTGTCTTTATCACCAAACATTCACACAGTACAGACATCATCGTTGCTCTCTTGAATAATCCCTTCCCAACCAACGTAAGGCTAAAAGCAGGAAAAATACATGTACCGAGCTGCAATATATTATGATTAGTAACATCAATGACATAAAAAATATATACTTGTAAATTTACAGCACTAGTAAATATATTAAGACATTTTTGCAACAGCAATGACTTGCTGGTATCATCAGCACTAAAGGCAGCAACAGCAGAACACCGAGCTCTGAGAGACCGACAGAGGGAACGAAAGAGAAATATCGATAATATTCACAGTTGAGACAAAAATATGTCATTGGATGGCTCTTGCTTTTCTTTCTCTTCATTATGGGATTGTCTGATACAAAAGACCTATTCAGACTGCTTTGCCTGCTTATCTCAAGGATGAATCCAAAAATAACGTCAATCAAAAGGCAGGATGTGTTTCCTTTGCACGCTGAAGTATGTTCTGTTGTGATGTGCTCATTTGGAGGCTGCCCTGATGTTATACAATAACAATAGACTCGCTGTAATGAACATTCATTGTGTTGCCTTAGAAAACCTCTATAAGAAAGCTTATTGTATACATTATGCTATGCTGCTGTGTTTGTCATAGGCATATTGTCAATCTTTTTGAAAGAAGTTATAGGATGAAAATATATGAGGAGCATACAACTTTGACAATAGGTTTCCTCTACTACCCTCTCACAGACACAGGCCATTATAAAAAGTTCACATTTTCAATAGATTTAAGGGCCAGTTTACACTACAAGCTAATGTTACTTAATACATGATTTAGCAATAGATGCCCTTGTTTTTGACCTACATTTGTTTTTTCTGACAAAAAGTATGAGGCAACATGACTAGGAATCACAAATACCTATATGTATGATTCACGTTCCCCCGAGAAATATTTACATCTATAATTCTCACTTTTTCCAACCAGAAATCGGAACTCTTAGTCTTGCAGAAATATAGCCCTGATCATCATTTGTGGTTTGGAAATTGAGCATAATTGGACATGTGCAAATTACGGTTTTAGTGGCCTCGGAAAACAATTTTAACCGACCATTTTCAGCTCGTCATTTTTATGACTATGTCAGGAAGGCAAAATTACATAACAATTAAGGCAAAAGTATTGATATAGTGTGTATGCATGCATGTTACTGTGTTCATGCATGTGTCGTTTTTTTTATTGGTGAATCTGTGCACAGAGTGGATTTATACCAATTCACCTATAGCACTTGCCATGCAACACATGAATGCACACATCCAAACTACTTATGCACAGCTAAGCACAGATATAGCCAATAACAGGCACAGCTTGGCAGATAAAATGTATATACGATATTAGCTGATTACGGCTATTACATACTTCCACAGCCTCTCAACTAGTCCCAGTTGCTGTCTCTGCAATAACAATGCAACATGAGAAGAATACAACTCCCAAGGAGGAAGCTTGCTCATTAACGTTTTAGTTAAGGTAATAATGAGTGAGTGCTGGTTGAAAAGGTGAGACTTGGCTGCCGCAGAATGAAATGCAATATCATGTTTCACAGAACGGCTGTCTGAGTGTGTCCCCTCCCCTGTATTTCAAAGTGCCCTTGAGCAAGGCACTTGGTGGTGCTCAATTTACTACAGCATTGTTTACAGCGTTTAATAATTTTGAATAAATCCTTCCTCCTGCTTAAAAACAATTCTGTTCAGCGCTGTTGGTGTCCTGTTCCGAGTATGCATGTCCAGATAAAATTGAATAAACTATTCCACGCTGGGATTTTGACATTCAGTCTGGGAATGAATAAAATGTTGTATATTCCCTTTATTTGTCACCACTACTTCAACATCAATTAATGGTTTCCTTCATTGCCAGATTGCCTTTCATTATCCCCAAGAAAATAGAGATACAATTGTTTATCACAAAAACTTGTAACTTGTGTTGGCACATATGTACTGTATATATTTTTGTAAGTATTTCTTATATTAAACTCTATTGTGGCTTTAGAAAAATAGAGAAACATACCTGACATCATATAATCTATGTTTGGCCACGTATTATTTGAAATATATGAAAAGCATACTTTTAAATACAAGTTAGGAATGCAAGGTAACTGCATAGTAGTGTTTTGGACTGTTTTTAGGGATGATTTTCCTCATAATAAGATGACGTGATGAGATAAGAAAGTAAGTATTTATGAATACAAAAAAGCCGCATTTAGCAGCAATATATCTCTGCCAGCAAGAGGCCTCTTTCTCGTTGGTGTAGTGTGAAAATACATGCCTAGAATGTGCTTGTCTTCCTCCGATAAATCATAAACTGACGGCATTGCTCTCAACGCGATTAGCCAGCGATGTGATGTGATCCCAGGTAGTTGAGCAGTAAGCTAATGTTTTGTGACTCATTACAATCAGTCTCAGCCTATTATCTGTGTGTGTCTTAGGCATGGATCTCAACAAATAGAGCGAGCTGTCAATTCGGTTTGTCGTGTTAACTTATCTCTGCATCAAATTAAATGATGTAGCAGATGTATAAGAGTCAAGATTACAGCTTGGTAGCTTTCCATGTCTCTCTTTAAGCAACCTTTAAAAAACACAAACCTGTACACTCTCTCTCACAATGTGTGCAGTGAAATATTTGGTTTCCAGACAGAATTAGGTAGAAACCCGCTTTTTTGACTGCTCGATCAACCTTACTCTTAAAAGGCCCAATGGCATTGACATATCATGGTGCCAGGTTTCCTAGAAGGTCTGGGGTGATGTACCCCATGGGCATGGCAGGTAGGGCCTTGAGGGGGTGCTGTGGCATGCAGGGAGGGGGAGACTGGCGGGCGGGGGGTTTGAGGAGGAGACTGTGTTGACTGTCCACCTCCTGTACCACTGTGTAGTCTGCAACAGGGGCAAAAAACTGGGATTGGGAAGAGTCAGGAAGAATGTAAGGCGATTGATTATCCTCTGCCATGGCTGCAGGTTTGGTCTCCACCGGCTGAGGCTGTATGGTTTGATAACCCTCGCCAGGCATGGGGGGGGCGGGGGGAGTGCTTATCTGTCGTGCGATGCTCTCTGTGGTGTAGCCACTGCCTTCAGGATCCACCATCAGCATCTGAAACTGCAGCTCCTTCTGCCTTTTGTCCTCAGTGTCCTCGCTGCTTTTCCCCTTCTTTTGCATTTCCTCCTCTGTGGCTGATGTGCTCTCCTGGATTCTGAGTTGCTGGCCAGGAGACAGTACCACACCCCCGGAGGGCATCACATTGCTGACTTGCGCATAAAAGTCTGTGTTGACCCAAGTCTGGGGCCCTCCAGTTTGGGTTTGGACAAGGGGCCTCTCGCCTCTCTCCGGGGCTGGGGCTCTTTCTACAACATTGAATGAGGCTTCTACGTCCTCTGTTTGGCCTGGCAGAAGGGTGGCCATCAACATTAGGGTGTCTTGTTCAGGTAGATCTGGGTCATAACAGCTGGCCCGGCCTGAGTCATCATCAGGGAAGCTAGAGGCAAGGGGAAAAGGTGGAAACAGAGATAAGATGTACATTTGTAAAGCCATCTGAAAGCATGAAAACACAGCATTTACAGCAGAGTGTGTGCAGTACCTGACGGCATTGGAGCGGCCTGTGTTCATGTGGTGGCTGGCAGGGTGACACAGGCCCAGGAGCCTCTGGGTGTCTGAGCCCTGGTTGTCCTCCTTCTCTCCAGTATCTGTATCCTCAGCATCCACCTCAATGAACTCCACCCATGGCTCATCTTGGTAGAAATCTTGTGCATAAGTGGGCAGGCCACCCATACCTCCACCACTCAGGATGAAATTCAGCTCGTCCAGCTTCCCTTTCTGCTTGTGCACACATTTGTTTGTTAGTGTTTGGTTGCAGAAAGTCATGTAATGGTAGAAGTCCTACCTATTCCGGTTCTATGCACAGCACTGTGATATTGTGACATGTTACTGTGTTAAAGTATCATCTGCAAACACAACATGCTTTGTGTTTCATCTTTATCCGAGCATGAAATAGCAGCATTATAACTGTGTTTATTCCCATCAGGACTTTTTTTTCTGTGGTCTGGGGGTAAGGTTGTTTTGTAAAGAGCACACAGGCTGCCTGTTAAATGCATCCCACATCATCTGACAATAATACACCCACAACACAATGCTGAACCAAGACCCTCTTCACATTGTATTATCCCTCGGTGGTGCCTGTGTTTACGTACACAAAACAAGGGTGCCCGTTTGCTTATGGATATTTCTACTTTCATTTAATCGCGGACAAAGATGTTAAACATGCAGTGATTTGGAGAGGGACAGTGGGTGGTGTGATGATTACGAGGCTTAACATGCCTTAGCCAAATGAACGCCCAAGAGTTTCTGTTTTTAATCAAAATAACAATTGAAATGTAATTTAAAAATTGTTTACATCTTGGCTACCGTGAATTATTGATGGTTAATTTTTTGTTAGCACTCCTTTTTTTGTACGATACAGTAGTACAATAGCATGCATAATATATGTATTAGGGCCTGACAGGTATTGGATTTAAAGGTCCCATGTCATGCTTTTCCGGTTATTACCTGTCCCCTTGTGTGTTAAGAAGGTTTTTATGCATGTAAACGGTCTGCAGAGTCACAAACCCTCAAAGTACACCCTGTAGCGAGTAAAACTCTAACACAGAAAAGACCTGTCTATGCTGCCCCAGAACGATTTCTCTTTTTCTTCCTGGGTACAGTGACGTGACCATACCCAAATGGACCCATTGGTCCAAATGGACCAATCCGTGGAGCTCCTCACACACACACACTCTCTCAGCAGCGAGCCGCGCAACGTCCCGCCAACACGGCACCCAGACCCCACGCAGCATTCTCATCTGTTTGTCCTTACTGGTGTCATTTTCTGGTTGCTAACGCCATTGTAACACATAATCACTGATGTTCCACTGTAATGGTGGTGGACTCATCAGAACAGAGTGGGCGAGCTGACCAATCAGAGCACAGGGAGGGGGGGGCAGGAGCTCCAACAAGCCGTGTAGGGCAGAGAGTGAATACACATACTATACAGAGATGCTGTATGAGAAACCAACGTGAGTTTGGAAAATTGCACAATATAAATCTATTCTAGTAGACCTCAACAATGGAATTATGATCAGTAGAAATGGCCATGACATGGGACCTTTAAGAGAGTCTAAAAAATATATGTTGATATTTGGTTTGCAAAATAAATACATAACATGAATCTGATACAAGATATGTACAAAATAGGATGTTTTGAAGTTGAAATGTAATCTTGGCCATGCTCTCTGCTCTCTCTGGTGGATAAACTATGAAATGGTGACACTGTTTTGAATTACAGCATCTTTGGCATCTTAAGTTCTGCAATTTTACGTACATATCAGCGTACATTTTTCATCAGAGGCATGAAAGAACAACAACAAAAGACATAAATGTACCTTTAACATCTCTGGATCGATGCCTTTAATTTTGGGTGCAGGAACAGGGGGCAACAGAATCATCATAAATCTGTAAAGGCAGTCAGGGAAGGAACACATAATGAAAATAATCTGTTCACACGTAAGTCTTAGTGTGTCTGTTTGTGTGTGTCCCACAATCTCAGCTGGGGTTGTATATATTTTGGACACTATTGTTGTACATGAATGAAAGAGTGAGAGAGTATATTCCTACCTGTGCTGCTGAGAGACGACTACTAGCATGATGAGGATGAGGATGCCCACAGCGCCGAAAACAAGAACCAGTGTGAGCGGGAAAGTAGAATCTACAAGACAACATTAACAGGAGCCCTTTTTATCATATTCATCATCATTGTCATCACCACCACAGCTACCATGTTCCTTGTGATTTGAGGATATGCACCCTTTCCGTCCAAACTGAACGAAGTCCCTGGCCATATTTATTTTATCACAATAAACCAAATTAATGATAGCTGATCTAACCTTTGATGGAAATCTCAGTCACTTGAATGAAGATGGAGTCGCTGAACTCCCCAAACCTAATGAAGGCAGGCATCCTGCAGCGGATGTGCACTTGGTATTCTTTTCCTATGTGCAGACCGAAGATTGTCTGCTTGGTGTGCGGCTGCATCTCCAACTGGAATATGGGAAAAGGAGAGAGAGAGAATATATACATACAAAGAATTAATTAAAAAACAAGAATAAAGTGATACTTAATTTATGAGAAAAAAGGATTTAACTCTCTTTCATAGACAAGAGGTCAATGTTTATTTTTTGTCAATGTAATAGTGCCCTCTCCAAAGGTGCAATTGTTGACATTTTTGACACATTAGAACGAGGACATACTGTTATGATAGAGGGCTTGAAAACTGTTTCCAAGGCTACATTTGCTGGACTGGCAGGGCGTTAATGAATATGAGCCTGTACATGGTCCCATGGCCTCTGACCTACAGATCCCTCCCTTCACTTCCTACAGAGAGGCTGTGTTTTCCCAGAGGGCCTTGCTCTGGCTTCCACTACGTTGCCAACAAAGCTACACTACATTTTAGCCCCAAGTATTCATGGGGGGAGGGGAGAGGAAACAGGACACTACCTACAATTTAGTTTAAAGAGGGTGCATGAGTGTTTGCATTTGTTTCAGCTTATGCATGTGCATGCAGGTCTTTTTTTATTTTGAATATGTGTTTACATGTCTCTAAACATGCAATTTTGTCTGTGTGTTTCTAAGAAATAGAAGAGAGAGAATTTAAGAGTAAAGAAAAGACTTACTGCTTCCCATTCGGTGCTATTTTTCTCTCTGTACTGCATCTCGTACTCAATGCGCATCCAGCCCGCCTTGACGTCTGCAGAGGGTGGGGACTCCCAGTTGACCATGACATCATAACTAAGCCCCGAGGGACTTACATTCAGCAGGGTCCAGTTTAGAGAAATTGGCGGGTCAGGGCGTACTGCCAGGAAAAGAGCAAAAGTTCAGAATAAAAAAAGATGTGATTTATAGAAATTGATTTAGAAATATACAGTTTATAGTGGAGGTCACCTACACTGTCAGTATATATATGTTTCTGTGCTAGCAGAGTCAATGCAAGTTAAAATTGCAACAAACTAACTAACTGGTTCTGAATGGTTTAACATTCATGAATGCATTTTTCAAATTAAAACAATACCTTTTTTTATACTCCACAGTACTGCAGTGTTCAATAAGATAAAAAGATGAACATCTATGATCTTTTTTGCCTTAGCAGTTGTCGGGATTAAAAACTCAAGACTGTCTCGTATATGGAACTAGAGGTAAAGCCACAAAGTCATTCAAATTAAAAGGATCCAACCTAAATTTCATGACGATTGAGAACAAGATTTTAATTTGTTTATTCTTAGTAAATTCAATGGAAAGTTGCCCTGAACTGCTGAAACAATTTCACAACATTCATCTGCTACTTAGTAATTATTTATTATATCATTCCAATAACTTCTATATAGACTCGTATTGCACTATTTTTTCTCACTTTTTTTTTAGAACTATTTTTCTTTGTTTATTTGTATTACTTTTAATATAATATACTTTAATATTGCTTTAATATGGTCTGCTTATCTGTATTATTGTGTTGCATTGTTGGAGAAGCCTGTGACCTAAGATTTTCAACGACATAATTACTCTGTAGCTATGTTAGTTTGACAATAAAGAACCTTGAACCTTGAACCCAATACAAAGCGATAACTAGGTAAAACGAGACATTTTTGTCTGAGGGTTTACCAAAAAGATTCCGAATGGTCTTCTGCTATATATATATATATATATATATATATATACATATATACACATACAGCAAATTGCTTGGAAATTCAAATGGTAGCTGTTGAAATAGGTGATGTGGAAACACAGTGCTGTGTGAAAGGACGGGCCAACCATCAATTGCAGCTTTGCTTCAGTGGAAGACAACATCTAAATGTTATCGATAAAAACATGCTGATAATTTCCGCACATTGGGAAAGGTAATAAACAAAGTTTCTCCACGGACATGTGACATTGCCATTTGATAGTACATCAGACATCAAAACATATATTGTGTAAATAATGTTTATCTGACACTTGACAAGCATTTTACATTTGCTGGTTTAGGTGATATGCAGCAGCACGTGCCATTTCTTTGAAGCATCGTGTAAAGTCTTTCATCTTACAGCTTCCCCTACATGTTGAGGAACTAAATTAAGCTTAACCATATATACCACAACGAGTGCAATGTAAAATGCCCATAATTAATTTGATAAAAATCTTGATGTATGCACAAATGTCTGTTACTAACCGATATTCTCCACATTAAAACACTCATTGAAATAGGTGATGTTGTTTTGGCTGCGCAGCTCCACGCAGTAGAGGGTCCAAATGGATGTGTGGTTTCTATCGAAGAAACACTCCCTGTTAGGATAAATGTACTCTGGACACTCTTCCCAATGAGATCCAAATCTGAGGGAAAAAGGAAAAAGGCAAAGGAAGAAATTAATTTTCTGAACTCTTTTTTCTTTTTTTATAAATAGGTCTCACATATGCATACAAAGATACATAAAGTTAGCCACATTCAAAATTACTATTTCATTTTTCTTCTGTTGATTATGGTACTCTGGCCATCAAACTCACCCTTTCTTATGGTAGAAGATTTGAAGTGCTCCAGGGGAGGAGAGATTGTGGAAATCGCCTTGACTCCACCAACATCTGAATGTCTCTTGGTTAGTCGATATGCACTCTGTGATATAAGGTTTAACGATAGCTGAAAGACAAGGACAGAGAAAAGTACAAATAAGTGAGAGAACACACAGATTGCATGTGGCTGATAAAGCACCTTAATTGACATCACTCAAACTAGAATGAATACAAACAAAACTGATTAAACAAAACACCCTTTATCCCCCCTAGCTAGCTGCAATTCAATCCCAACATTAACGTAAGAGTGAGGAAACACTGAAATGAAAAATGACAACACTAAAACACCTCAAGTTTACCTCCCATCCTTGAAGGACTGACAGATGGTCAATACAACGTTCAGGTTGAGTTCTACAGACATTGTGCGTAACCTTGTTCTGAGTGTTTGTCAGTTACAATGCATTACCATAACATATTTCATTGACAGAGGTTTTGTCCCATCTGTAGCAGTGAATCACCAATGAGAAAAAAAAACCCAACCCTGATAAAAGCCACGCAATGTGCAGAGGGAATGACACTTTCTGCTGGAGGGGGTTGAGCCATACTTGTAGTCTGCATCCTATACCCTCTAAAAACATTTCTGCTATCTGTAAATATGTGAGTGGTAAACAAAACGTGTTGAAAGGAGTATATACACATTACATTACATTAAATTTAATTAAATTCACTGCTCCTTCACAACCCCTTAGATCTATTCACGCACAATTTATATAATTTCCCCTCTGCCGCACCCCAAGGCCCTGACTCAGCCCTTTCCACCTTTCACTCGGCACCCTGTCACTCCTCATCACTGAGCCACAGCTACCTCCCTCTCCCACCAGAGGCCAGTTTCTCATTCAGCTGAGAGTCCCAGGGTTTGGTGCAACCATAAATAAGAAACTGAAGGTATCATTGATTTCTGCTCTACTCCCTCTCTTCCAGCACTGGCTGCAGCATAAATCACAGACCAGGCTCAGACCATAAACATGCTTCACAACACAAGGCAAGGAATTAAAGACAGGCTGGAGCAAATGCAGAGGGGCAATGTTATAGTTTCTCCAGTTAATTAAAAAAAGAAAAATATCCACATCTTAAAAAAAAAAGATGAAATACTACACTACTGGTCAGTTGTGTTATTATCCGCAGACACCACAACAACACCCTTACAAGCACAACCCCAGGCAAGCCAGACTGCATAATTTATTGACACAGAATGTGCACCATTGCTTTGATCACTTTATTTTCTTTCTCATTGACGAGTGTCACATCATAATTCACACAATTACTACGCCGTTATGCCTTCAGGTCTCAACCCTCCACATTGCTTCCCTCCCTTCATCTTTTGCACACTGTCGTGGTTACCAGAGCTTTGCTATTTCAACTCGGCCACCCTCCCCCATCCAACAAATTCCAGCTACTAGCATCAAAGAGCTTTCTGAATGCAAGGAGAGCTTAAAACGACAGCAAGAGAGATAACATAAAAAGTTAAATCAAACAGAAGAAATGCATATTTTTGGCTTCAAATATGTCTCAAGGTCAGGCATAATGTCAAACACAATCTGACATTTCTAATATGAATTAATTAGTCATATACAGTGTTATTCATCAATATTGATGCTTTCATCATTTGGTTATTTAAACTAATAATTTCCAATTGCAAATTTAACAATTTGAATTGTTTTAAACAATAAGAAACGTTTTGATGTCACCTCACAGCTGCTGTTCTATTCTGTCTGGAAAAGACCTGAAAGCAAGTTAAACTCTGGATAAAGAATGGGGAGAATTTGCGTTTTTCAACATGGCTGTGGATTGTAGACTAGTCTGAAGAGTGGTAGAGGTGAAAGCTTGAGTAGCAACACCAGACTACAATTCCCAACATACTCAGTGTCTCTCTCTCACACTCTTATTAGCTTACTTCTCTCCTCTGATATGCTAAGCCTTATTAAGACATTACTGTAAAAATAACAAATAAAGTGGAACTGTTCAAGTTGTAACTGGCTCACAAGCCACAGGGCAATGTCTTGGAAGATTCTTGTTAATTACCTGCCATGCCTCGGCTGGTAATTTGGTTTCAGGGCCTAACAGTAATTGGAAGCTAAATATTGCCTTAACCTGCCAGCTGCCATTAAATGATCAGCAGTTAAAAGCCTTTGGCTAGAAGAAGAAACATAATTTTGTGTGTGCTCATCCTGGCTGTCGATCCTTGTGGGCTGTGTACAGCTGAGACTGATAAACAGCTTTTAGCTTCATGTCCTGTTTTTCTTAGTGCATACAGAGGAGCTAGGAAAACACTTATCTAGCTCAATGCAAGCTTTAGCCATTAAGGTTTAAAATCCACTAAAAGCCTAAATAAAGCACTCTCTCCCAGCCCTTGGGCCAGCAAGCAAGCAGCACTAAAAAGCCTTTGTGAAAGGTGTGATCCGGCTTTGTGAAATTCCCAACTTTCAGTTGTGGAGTGGGTGGAAAATGAGGCTAGATGCTTTGATTTACAACCCTTTCCAGCTCATTTGCCAATTTAAACCAGTGTTGAGGGTAGTAACGCTTCAGAAGGCTGCTGAGAGGAAAAGGAGACGTGGCGTAAGCAGGAGGAACAGAGAGGAATATGGCAATGATACATTTCCTTCGATGAAAACATAATGTTTTTACAGTCTGAGCATAAAGTCAATTAAAGATTATCATTTATACATAAACATGCACATCAATTGTTTTGGTTGTGGGGTACTCCGGATTGATACATGGCAGTCTGTCTTAAACTGGTTCTGCTAGAGAAATTATACAGTCTCTGTAGGTGATTTATTATCTGTCGCAGCTATAATTGTGTTTGGCGTCCCTCAGGGCTCAATTTTGGGTCCCTTACAATAATATTGATAAATGGCACACAGGTCCAAAATCATGGAAAAATGCTATGGAAATTATACTTAAAATACATATTCTTTACCAATATTTATCAAAAAATGTCTACATTGCAGCTCAACATTTGACTACACACTGGGAATCTGGGTGTGATTACTTGATGGTACATTCAATTATAAAATACATAACGTTTTTTGTAAACATTTTATAGCATCTACAATAAGGCCAGCCCAACCTCCTTTGGTAGGAAATTCTTGATCTAACAGCAACTCGATGCATTGTGTAACTTTTGTAACAACCTTTAGTACAATTTGTGCAAAATGCCGCTAAATGTATGGTTGGTATCCCCATTTGTAAAGCACTTTGTTACAAATTGATTTTCAAAGCATTTAACAAACAGGAGACATGATCTAATATATTGGGACTGTATGAACAGTTAGGGAGTCGTTTTTAGGTATTGTTTTTATCTGTTTAATAACATTTTTTTTTAAAAGCTCACAAAACTAAAAATGGAACACAAAACCACTACACATACGTGGACCTTGAGTGGCTCTTAAGGGTGGGATTACCATATCATTGTCTAAAATTGCTTGCTTGAAGAGAACAAACACATGGCTGCTGAACAGTAGAACCTGTTGTCCCTGTTCACTCGACAAACAGCTTGTAATCTGCTCTTGACTGACAGTGTAAACACAATTACAAGACACTCAAAGCAGAATTGCTGTCTCAAAGTTTAAATTCAATCCTAACAGAAAGTGCTTTTTAATAGATTAAACAACAAAGTGCAAATGTTTTGTTTTTGGCACAAATATAATGTTTTCAGAGATGGCATTTATTAAGTCAATAGTAGGCAAGAGGCAATAACTTTTAACAGTCAAGTAAACTTATTTGGTACTACTGATTGGTACAGCAGCGACTTCTGCCCATTGGGCCAGATGAACCACATTCTGTCTGTGTATTTCTGTTAACCTGATGGAGAAATTGGCAGGCCAAACTAACAGTATAACAGTAAAACAGTAAAAGTGTCTTTCAGTCTGCTCCCTGCACTGATCCATGCACCACAGCCCATCTACATACCCACATGGACTATTCTGCAACACACACAAGACGATTATGTTAATTGGTCCGCAGAAGACAGCGGTGATTGTCTATTCCATGGAACGTGTCTTGGATGATTTAAAAAAAGAAAGAATGAGCATATGAGAAGAAAAGATTGAAATAGGAGAGGGATATCATCTTGAATTTCACAAATGCACCAATACTTAAAACAAATGTAACCCTCCAACTGAACTTAAGAGTAGAGGTTAAATGTTGAGTCAAGGCCATGTGGCACTCGAGAGAGCAGGGCGAGAAGTGGGCCAGAAGAAAGGGGGAGAAAGGTGAGAGGCTGCAACAGGATACAAACAAGGGAATGTAAACAGGCTATATAAATAACTGCTAACATGCACACACAGTTCCACACAAACTGAACTTACTTGACATCTTACTTCAAAAGAAAATCCGACAAAGAATATCAAAGTTCCATTGTCCCATTCCTTGAATAAGCTTGGCCTTTCCTCTCAGTTGCACAACAGAACCTATGGCTTTTTTCTGCCCTCTTAATGATTTGGACTACAGAGTGACAACTTTTTGCTCCACCTGATCCTCATGATTCCCACCAGTGTTCATGACTTTGAAGTCTAACAAAAATAATCTGAAGGGTTTGACCACGCAGTGACCCAGCCAGCTTTTTCTTGTCCCAGCGATTTATTAGCCTGAACTAATGATGTTAATCTCCTGTAATGTCATTACAGCCCACAGTATTGGCTTGATTATGTCATATTACATCCAAGTGAGAGTAAATATAAATGAGCAGGGGTGTCTAGTTTACAGCATGGACACCTGCTTATACTGAGCACACACATTTTCTCTCCCCACTTTTCTCTCTCTCTCTCTCTTTCAGACTTTTTTCTGGCTCATTGCACCCTGCTAACCTCTGCACTTTAGCCGGGTGTCGGAAGTTTTCACATTGAACAAAGCAACATGTTAAATTCAACCAGCGACTGTGTGGCATCACATTGAGGTGATAGAGACATGTTACACAAATGAGTAACATGTCCGGTAACCATTTTTTACAAGTTGGAGTGGGGAAACTGACATCAGAAGTTAAGCTGCAAGATAAGATCATAAGGTAGCCTCTGCTCCACTCACTTCCATCACGGTCCTGCTGAATTAGTTAAATGTGTCTATTTTTTTAAAAGTGTGTCAAATCCAAAACTAGGCCTCGACTTCGCTGCTTGGAGTAAAACACCCACTGCTTTTCTTTGAAGCAGATAGATGAAACTGTATATTGTGTGTCCAAGCCAGCCAGACCAAACATCTGCACTTTAACCACTGGTTAGTTACAGCCTCTGTGGCCAAGAACACGGCCTCGCCTAACAGGATCAAGCTATGGGCCTCAGAAGGAAGTCCTTATGGAAAGGTTGTGGGGAAGAAAAGAAAATGAGTGAATGAGGACAGATAGAGATGAACAACTTCCACTGGCTATAATCACTTTGGTAAGCCTTTAAATACAGAGAGCATCTCCAAACGTCTACTCTTGGCTTGTTATGTGGCTGGCTCTACAACAGAGACATAACATTGCTGAAGAAACACTATAACCCTCAGCCTATTAAGAAGGCTCGATAAGGGCCTCAAGTGAAACAACAAAATGTTTTTTTTTTTAAACTAAAAGCACAATGAAGATGAGGGTCACTCACCTACTCAACAGTATCATTACTGCAACCTACTAGACGTGTCCAAGAGAAAGAGCAGTGAGTTAAAGGTCAAATATAGACCGTTTTCAAGTGTAGAAAGAAGGTGTCAGGACTGGAGTTAATGCAGCGGTAAGCTTGAGAAAGGAACAGGCTGTGTGTGTTTGCTCATGCTATCAGGGGCTGCTTTGTGTTTACAGATGTTTTAACGGTTGTTGAGGAAGACATCGTTTTAACGATCGAAAGGAGGGGGACCAGACAAAACCTCACCTGGCTATCAGCTGTCTGAAAGCTTATCATAAAAGGTAATGTCAACGCACAGAGATAAAGACATTTGCAACAGACTGTGAACAAATACAAAGTCAAAATGCCCAGGGGAAAAGAGGATGAGCTCACAACTCTGTGAGATATTACTTGTGAAGTTACAGTACAGTTCAGACAAACCCATTTGTTTTTCATCAGTGCATGAAATGTAATGGAGTAGCTGTTAAAATCAGCCTTTTGTGTGTAAATATTGTCAAAATATTTCTATAATATATTGTTATAAGTGGGTGCCTTTTTTTTTTTACACACATCATGTACTTGATGCTCTAGTTTTACATGTCATTACATGTGGATGGGAGTATCTTATCAGGACAATCTGGTTCCGATGGTTTTAGCTCACACAGCTACACCAAAAAAAAAACCTTTCCTTACTCCTCTGCCTGTTTTTCAAAACCAAACCTGTAAGAAATAACCAAGAATGTAAAATACACGTCCAAAAAACAATTACAGTCATTACTCTGCAGTCAGAATGCCAACATGGCCTTAATCATGACTATTGATTTTTTTTTTTGGCTGCTTTGGTACCAGCACTGGCACAAGTATTATTTGTACTTTGGAAAAGCAGTAAAAGCAGCAGAGCAGAAAGAACAATATGTTCACAGCAAATGATAATTGAATCAATGCTCTCAAACTTCTCTCCTACATCGAACCAGTGGGCCAGTTTAAAAAAAGATGGTAAAGCTTAATCCCAGATCAATAGAGTGGCGAAGTCCCTCCCCTTCCGGTGGACCTCCATGGGACCTTATTTCGGAAAAATTATGTATTGAAGTCAATGGAGAGAGAAAGATTATCTTTCGATCCCGTTTGAATTGTGTCACGAATTACACATATGATGTTTGTCAATTTAAAAGATAATTTTGCAAGTCAAAAAAAAAAAATGTGTCGTAAAACTGTGAAGTAACACATTTGTTTGTGTGAAACGCTCAATGAACTACATCTCTGGTCTCGCAGACTCGCACAACAACACACGTCACCAAGATGGCAGTCACTACTGTCTTGTCAACAAAACGATTGACTACCCTCACTATCAACACAATGAAACGCGTCCAGAAGAATGTCATGCAAAGCTGCCTGCCTGCCTGCCTGCCTTCCTTTGATTCTCTCTGAACTGCCTGTTCTTTTTAATGTTTAATGTCAACCATTTGTGCAGATAGCATGAAGTGCAAAAGATCGCCGATGCTAGCGTTAGCGTTAGCATTTCTCCCCCGGTCTTAAAGTGTGTATTATAGAATGATCACACCCGTGACAGTACTCTTCAAAGGGTTCACGAAATATGACTACTACTCTTACTGTTTAACATTTTGGGTTACTTAATGTTACTTCATGTTAAGGCTAATAAAAATGACATGGCTGTAATGCTAACTAACGTGCTAGCTACTAGCTATGTAGCTAGCTTGATCCAGACACTCCTGGTCCTTTCATCCGACGGGAAGCGAAAGAACGAGCAAGACCCATTGCTGGTATGATAACAACCGCTAAGCACACAGGCATCTTGTTAAAGTTATCTTATCTTAGCCAGCGCCATATAGATAGATTATATCTATATGGCGCTGATTTTAGCTATCTCTTAGTGGAGGAAAACAATTGTGACATCACTTACGCGACTCTGGGATTTGTAGTCTTTCTAGTTGCGTATTTTTCATAGTCTTATATTTCAACAGTTTTACGACAAACTGTGACTTTTTTGACATGGAAATGATTTTTTAAGATTGACAAACATCATATGTGTAATTCATGGAAGTAGATGGGCGTGACTTCGCCACTCTATGCATTTACAAAAACTGCAAAAATGCATTAAATCTGAGTCCATGCTACAACACATAGCTGACAATTATGTCAGCATTTTCTCCAACCAATAAACAGAGAACCAGAAGCGTGTGGACTTGGCCTTCACTTGGCAGGAGAAGAGATGATGATGAGATGGCATTCTCCAGTGGATACCGGTGGTAATATTTCCAGCTGGATTTCACTAAATCCACATTGAAAAATAAAAACAGACCTAATGAAGGGCCAAGCTATTTGTCTCACAAAAGGGGTTTATTGTCCTGCATATGAAAACAAATAGCAAAATGACAACTTGCTCCACGCTACTACTCGTCAGTCATCACCAGTAAAGATGGGTCTCTTTTCACATTATGATATCAACAGTCAATTTGCATAATCCTGTGTATATATTCCCTAAACCTGAAACGCTACATTTAAAAAGGTCAAGTCCATTAAGAAAGATGTTTATGCTGCATAAAAAAAAGGTAGATAAATTGTCTAATCTCATTGAATGATACTACCTTAAAACAAAATATGCAAACATGTTTTATGTTTTAAGAACATAAACGCATGCAGCACAAAAACAAATGGAGGGTACAGAGAAATAATTGACATGTGCCGAGTACATGAGAAGGTAACCAGTAAATCCAAGTGGATATAGGGCCTCCATCCGAGCCAGAACTCCCCCAGTGTGTCTCCAGGTAACATGCAAGCTTTACATTCTGTCAACAGGTGCTGCAGAGGCCAGACAGGCAGAGATGGTTTGGACATTTCTCAGGTCAATGTTTTCTGGCTCACTTCTTAATGGCAATGAGCAGATGCACCAGCAACTTGCCAACATCTACAGTCAAGGACTACTTTTATTGTGTTGCCAAATGTTTGCAGTACCATGAACAGCATGCACATGTATCATTACTTTTACAGATAATAATGAAGACATGACAATAAAATGTATAGTTTTATCACTATTGTATGTATGATTCTGAATCAAGGTCACAAGGGCACGGGGTAAGCCTTTTGCATTATAATCCTGACCATATTTTACAATGTCTCAACTTCACAGAAAGAGAAACAAATCCAAAGCTTAATTTTGTAGCGTTTGAATTGGAAAGAAAGAACTATAGAACGAGAATATAGTTGCTTTTCAACTCAAAGTGTTATCACTCCCAGAAATGCAGAAGCAAGCAGCCAGACAGCAACATAATCTTTTCAAAAAGGTTGAGAGACATGTTTTGACAAAGTCAACAGCAGGATTGATCCATTCTTGGGAGTTGCTGTATCTTTGCTGTGATGAATTCTGTAAACATGTGATGTTCTAGCGTAGGTAGACTTAAAATAAACAAGGACTTTTCTTGGCTTGCAGGTCTGCACATTTTTACCCAAGCTACATGCACCTCAACCATTAGAGGCTATTTTATGATCATCAATTGAGGTAAAAGACTGCTATCTTGGCCACCTATATTTCTGTGGTGGAATTTAAGTTTGGCCTGTTTGTCAGCCACATCATTCTTTCAACTTATTATTTCAGATGGTTTAGTGACAGCGGAATTAGCTGGCTGAACATCCTGCGTCGTCCCGTCCCTGGACTTTGACAGTGAAGCGTCGACCTTATATTTACCCTGGCTCTATTGATCATAAGCCTGTTTGACAAGCCAAACCAGGAAAGTGCGGCGTTTGCTCAACACTGAACCTTTCCACGTGTATCTGAGCAAACACAGCATTCAGCATTTGATGTCTGACATAAGACATGATAACAAGTGTCAACAGAGTGGTGCTTGCAAAACCTGAATTACATTTGTTAATGTTTAACGAGCTGGTTAACAAACGGAAAAGTGATATGTCCAACATCAATATATATATATTTTTTTAGTCCTGACAGAAAGCAGTCAAAACACTAGCAATCTACCTGATGATGTCAGATGTTCCCGGTCAGTGAGAAATGCAGATCCTGGACTGGATAGCCAACCAAGGGAGGACATTAGGAGAATAAGCAGGAGACTGGAGGAGTAGGAAGAGAACGCCATGATGCTGGAGAGAGAGACATAGGGGAGAATGAGAGACACAGTTATTATAATTATCAGTTGAACTCCATTATGACATGTCCATGTGAGGAACCCTCCTTCCCTCACTACTCTGCCTTCCTTTCTTTCTCCCTGCACAAATCGTGGATGCCATTTATTTTCAGCTGGTGTATGTGAAACCTTACACGGGATAGGGCATCATTAATTATTATGCCAGTTTGTCACTGCACAGCGTTTTTAAGTTGAAAGCATTGAGCATGTTTCTGTTTATGTGATGCTTGTCTGTTTGAGTAATCTCATTGATAAAAAGTCACTGCTTATTTTACATTTTTATAAAACATTCCTCCTCTCTGTTAAACACATTGGAAATTATTTCTTAAATTTGCCATGATTTTATACAGACTTACAGTAGATCTAACGCAGATTTACAAACAACTGCAGCACACATCACTTAAAATATGAGAAGAAGTTATGTAAGCACTCATGACACCAACTAATACCAAAGAAATACCAGGGTACTTAAACCGTTAATCATCCTGACTGCTACTCCCGGAAGCTTTTGCCAGAATGTTCTTATACAACATTTCTATTACACACCCTTACCAACAGGGATTAATCAAACTGCATACGATTACATTAAAACGTGTTCATATTAAACCTGCATTGTTTTTATGGCAAAGTTGGGACAGCAGAAACAAGCATCAAACGCACGACTGACACATAACCCGATGATTTGATATGGGGAAATTGTTAGCAAACAATTTGTTGTGTACGCAGCCAGCAGATATGAGGCAACATTAACATTCATTTGGAGTCATGTTCCCTAACACCCGATAAGTCCAATATTCAATCTCATTTTAACTCTGCTTTGGTCTTCACTGCTTCCTGAGGGAAAGATCGACCTCTTTAGCTGCTAAATGATCCCTGAAGGAAACTACAGTCATGCAATAACCAACTGTGTCATCACCACAAGCAACAACTTAACACAGATTCATTTGATCCATTGTTTATTTGTTTTAGATAATAGCAGCTTTAAGCTTTTGAAATCCATAACAACCTAAATTATGCATTGAACAAGAAGTCGTTGGTGTGACTTTTGGTTTCCCACCATCAGACTCCTTGTTTGTAACACACCAACACAGAAACCCTGCAATTTACTCCCCCTCTTTAAACCTGACTTGAACTTCCCAACAAAACCTTTAACATAGAAATGTTGAAACTGCATTTTTCATCCAAGCTGTCATACTTTAATCAAATAAGATTTCAAGTATTTTCTTAGTATATGGCCTATACAGAAAACTGTGAAAAACTCTTCCTTGTCAATAAGTTGGTGTTGGCGGACAAGTTCTACCAGTCATGTCCAACCCCTAAAAATAGGCCAAACTTTCTGTCCGCACCCTTGGCTATTTAGAGCTGCGTCTCCACAACTTCGCTGGGCAGACAGCAACTCCAAACGTGGAGGCTATGTTTCTCAGGGCAACGCTGCCAGAATTCCCCCCAGTTCTGGTGTAGTCTGTTGACAGAGAATCGTAAAGCCATATAACTACAGCATATCAAATTCGTCTAGGTTTTACTTACGGGAAAACAATATATCCAACCTCTAAATAACAATTTAGCCACTCCAGGCAAATCTTCAACACTGACAAACTGGGATAGAGCGCAAACACTGGCACTTATTTAGGAACAGCATCATTAGATATACTCTTGATAGATTTATTGCAGATAACTTATGCGTTATGCAGATAAATCTGAATTAAATGAAACTACAAAAAAAACATAAAAGACATCTATCTCTGAATGTAAGCGAAATGCAGGATTGTTTCCCGTAGTTTCAGTCAGTGCAGCAAAATCTATACAATATTCTATATATCATCTACATACAAATATAAATGTTCAGTCAATGTGTCTGTGTGTCTGTGTGTCTGTGCATGTGCGTTTCAATTCCAAGTGTCAGAGGCTGTACAAGGCCAAGTTATACAATGCAAGAATTCATGGCGAGCAGCAAGCTTGTCTGGCCTGAATAAAATGCTCCATTTAAAATCAATGTCGTCTAATTTTCCGCATTTGACATATTGCCTAAGTTTGTCTTCATATCATCTCAAACCCTCCCTCTGCCTTCGGGTTAGATACTTCTTCATTCTAAAACCATGATAAAGTAACATTCAAAGAGTAACATTCTTTAATCAATCCAGTAACCAAAGTCATTTACAAGTCCCTCTTAGTCTCCCCCCTCTCATGTGAAAGCGTCTGTTTCATCTCCATCTCGTGCACGTTTCTCCCCCATTCCTCTCTTCCTTTCAGCCAATTACAGGCTCTTAGACTTGCGGGGAAGGCCGCCTAAGCCAATCAGAAAATAGGGAGGCTCAGCAGGCCTCCTGGGGTCCCTTGGTAAACATTTAAGGCCGTTGTGGTCAACCTTCCTCCCACTACCTCTGCCCTAAAAAAAACACACACACAGCTTGGCACCCCACTGCCAGCACCATGCCTCTCCCATGTTCCCTTACATCTCTATTGATCATCTGTGTTTGTTCAAAAAGGAGGACGAAGAGCAGGAGGAAAAGGATGTTAGGAGTAAATGGGGTGATGGTGTGAGGGTAAAGCCAAGGGAAATGAAAGGTTATGGGGCAATAGGTCACACCATGTCTGTGTTAGTCTCTTATAGCAGAAGAAGAAAAGCAAACACACATAGCGATGTTGCAAGCCCAAGTTTAGAACGTTTGAGTATCCTCCAAAGAAAAAGCAGAAAGCTGTGTATTTATTCTGTATTTTTCACACATTCACAGTCTTTTTGCACAGCACCTAGTGGGCACTACTCTTTTAGAAACAGACTTTCTTTAATCTAGTTTGCTAGGGCAGCAGTTCTCTGGGGGCTGGGTTCATTGCAGGACATGGCAGTTTGAAAAATGTGAAGAGCTGGTTATGTTAAAATAAATCAAATTTATGAAGACATAATCAGAAACAAGTGTGCTCTGATGCATGTAAGGCAATACAGATTTGTAGCCAAATAATTACATTTCTAATTTGTTATTGGACTGAGAACTGTGTGATAAAATCCAGGCATGGAAACAATGACATCATATATTAATTAACAGGATTATACCAATACATACAACCGTGCACAAACATAAATGCACAGAACACACACACACAAACATAAATGCACAACACACACACATAAATGCACAACACACACACACAAACATAAATGCACAACACACACACACATAAATGCACAACACACACACACACATAAATGCACAACACACACACACATAAATGCACAACACACACATAAATGCACGCACACACACACAAATGCACGCACACACACAAACATAAATGCACAACACACACACACAAACATAAATGCACAACACACACACACAAATGCACGCACAACACACACACAAATGCACACACACAAATGCACAACACACACACACAAATGCACGCACAACACACACACAAATGCACACACACAAATGCACACACACACACAAATGCACGCACACACACAAACATAAATGCACAACACACACACACAAATGCACGCACAACACACACACAAATGCACACACACAAATGCACACACACAAATGCACGCACACACACACACAAATGCACGCACAACACACACACAAATGCACGCACAACACACACACAAATGCACACACAACACACACACACAAATGCACACACACACACACACACACACACACACACACACACACACACACACACACACACACACACACACCACACACACACACACACACACACACACACACACACACACACACACACACACACACACACACACACACACACACACACACACACACACACACACACACACACACACACACACCACACACACACACACACACACACACACACACACACACACACACACACACACACACACACACACACACACACACACACACACACACACACACACACACACACACACACACACACACACACACACACACACACACACACACACACGTCCTATAAACTGCGTGATTTAAATTGTAGGTGGATATAAAACATTTTTGATAATATGTGTGTAGGGAAAAGGTTGTGTGCACTAACATGAACCTTTAATAAAATGTTTTGAATAAAGATGATGCGGTCTTCTGTATTCTTTGTGTGCATTATTGTGAATGTAACAAGTCCTATCATGATCTTCCACTCTCTCACTGTCAACTCCTTTTTTTCTTTTGCTGGGTCTGATTTCTCAAGGGAAGCCAGCCAAAATCCAGCCAATCCTTGGCTGGATTTTGGTTATAGTCAAAATGCAATCATGGAGTAAAGCCCATAAATAAAGCGCAAGTGTGATCCTACACAACGCATCTTTAATAGCTTGAAAACTGCAGAGGGGAACAAGCACTTTGGGCAAAATGTGTGCAAAACATAAAAGACAGTCTATAAGGTAAGGGTATACTTCAGGGCTGTATTACAACCACTATACATGTTTTAAATAATATTGTGAACAAAATAATTATACTGCTACATCATCATGATTTCACGTGCACGTACACACAGTTGTTCAAGGTCCACTACTCCATAATTACACAACAATCATGCAAATAGATTTTCTGTGTTCAAGTTTTTAGCTCATCACCACAAATCTTTTTCTTTTAAATAAATACACTTAAAGTAAACATACAATACTTAAACATGTGCCTACATCTTAGAACAGACACTAGTGAGGAAGAGTGCACACAGAAAAGAGGCAGGGCCAAGACGCTGCAGCTCTTCTGATAGGCATTCAAATGTTGGATATATTATTTACATAAATCCAGTAGAGTCTGTTTGAATGTGTTTGTAGAGAGGGTATACAGGTACAGCAACAGGAGGCTGCATTTTTAACCTGTGTGCATGCGTGTCTGTGTGCGCTCTCAGGCATTCAGATCTGGCAACTCGATGGCTCTAATGTCTCCTACTCTTATTTCATAAGAGAGAGTGGAAAACTCAGAGTCAGCACACTGGCATGAAGAGAGTCTGTGCTGGAAGCAGATCAGGACACACATCTGCAAACCCTAATACTACACTGTTGGTGTGTGCGCGTATGTGTATGTGTGTGTGTGTTTGTGTGTGTGTGTGTGTCAGGGCGATGAAGTGAAAAGAAGTGCATGCACGGAGTTTCAGTCCAGCAGAAACAGAAAAAGATTTGTGCTGCACAGATTCAAAAAATGTTGTGTGGAAAATGTCTCCTTTGTAGCATTCCTTGCTGTGTGTGCACGTATGGGCATGCATTGGTTTGTCTAAGACATTAAAAGTAATAGCTGTCATGTACAATTTTGCCCCCATATCTGGCTTTTTCATCTGTTGCATGATATTAGTAAAGAACTGGTTACCATTGTTGCTCATTTTGTAGATTCATTCATACTAATCCGAATTGACAGTCTGGAGTGAACTAATCTGGGTTTGGTTTTAATAAAAGAGATTACATTCATTGCAGAGTTTGAAGTTCAATCCTCTGTAAAAGAATAATGAAAAGTTTCCATCAACCCACTTGTTGCTTTGGAGGAGGACTAAGTATAAATGTGCAGCATGTACCTCTCTAATATTCACCAAATCTGGTTGTTTCTCATGTCAGATACACACACACATCCTGATTCCTGACAACCATGCACTTCATTGAAGAAACATGGATGTGTGTAAAATGTAATGGTTTCCAGAGTACTGCTGGGCTGTCAAAGGATCAAGAACATAACAGCAGTACTTAATGTAGTATGTGGGAGTGCAGCGATGACTGAGACAGAAACTGATGGAACTAACGTCTCTTAAAAGTCCTCGCCTCATCTATTAATACCTCAGCTACCTGGTGGACACTTTAATGACTCTCTCATCATGCTGTTTCTCTGCATAATTACATACTTTCCAACAGCTGCAATAATAAATCACATTATTAATGGCTCAGCTTTATCCATGTGAAAATTATTAAACTTTGTGATCTTGAAGAAAAAGGGTTTTTGATATGCAGAAATGTGACGGTGTCAGAGGTTGTTCTTTTTAGAATTGGCCTCTAAACTAACCCCATACGGAGTGGACGTACTAACTATACAGCATTTTCTACAGTTAAGATACATGATTTTGTACAAAGAAATTTCCTTTTAAAGGATTTAACTACCTTTCTGGAAAACTGAACTGGAAATTGAACTAGAAAAAAACACAACATTTTTAACAAAATCTGCTTAAATTGCAGAGAGCCTTAATGGAGGAATATACGTTTTCTCATGTAGGCCTTCTGTAGTGGCTAAGTTTGCACATTGCATCTCCTCACAGTGAGGTGTGCATTCTCATTATAAGAGCAGAGGTGTTCTCCTGTGGTCAGTACAACAGTCAGCCAATCATAGAAAAGAAAAAGCAAACACACTGAGAGAAGAAGCTGGAATGAAAAGCTTTAAAGATTGATAAATGATGATGACGTGACAAGAAATGCAACACATAGATTGAAAAAAAGAAAGCTAACCTGTGCAAATACTGCTACTGGTTGGCATACACTGAATAAGTATTGTGAATGTAGTCATGTTGTTTGGCATTATATTTGTATATATCATGTATTTCTTAAGTCATTAAACCAGAAAGTATCTAACCATCCTCCAATTCCTTCAAAATAAAACAAATGATAAAAGACATCTGTTATACATGTTTGTTTGGACATTGTAGATTAAATTCCTTACGGTTTATGACAGCTGATAAAAACATATAACAATTTAAAGGCATCATGAACTCTGGCAACTTATCTTCAACATGTAAAAATAATAAAAACGTATTATCTCTCATAGTTGCACTGCTCTTACATGCATATTCAGTAATACATGCATATCATAGTCACTGAAGCGAGTATGTGCCAGACTGATTTCGACGCTGTGTGATAGATCAATATCAGGCTGTGTCAACAATGAGGTAACATCTGGCTAAACAATATTTTTGGGTTCAGCTTTACACTTCATCATTTCTTGTATTGATCACTTTTCCCATGAGCCAGAATTTCATATTGAAATGTTAACCAATCAGATATTCCTATTTCTCCATTAGAATGTGATATTTCTCAATAGTCCATGCCGTTTAAACCCGTGTTTATGACTTCATGAAAAGTTGCAGTGGAATTGTATAAGGTCTCGTAGTTTCTGTCACTAATTAACAGCTACATTAAACAATGAGCCAAACACACACAATCTTTATGATTGTTTAAAAAAAGATTCTGCAATGCGCAACAGTGAAATGTAAAAAAATGTAATGCAATTTCAGCAAAGTTTTCCCGAGTCGTCGTAGAAGCAGCCACACATGGGGTTTTGGAGACATGGATAAACGCAAAAGAAATATGCACAACACGCTTTAAAACACAAACGCACTTACTTATTTCGAAGTCTCAAGCTGAAGAACTGCAAAGACAGCGCAGATCGACTTTTCACAACTTGGTCATTTGATGGCCAGCGTGAACACCAACAGGCACGGAAAGTCCTGCTTCTTCACTGCAGCCTGCTCGACCGAGTAAGATCCCTCCGATCGAGATTTTCACATCACCCAATCATTAAATAAGCGGATCGGTGTCCTTTTCGGTTTGAAAATAGGTCTTATCTGCCGCTCAGTTCATCCTCTGGTCTACTTTCGTGGGCACACGCGCTACGTAGCTCAGACAGAGCCAGTGTGTGTGTGTTTCAAATGGCGGTGAAGCGCCCTCATCTGCCAGAATCCAATCTGCTCCATTATGAGCACAGAAAACAGCCGGAGAAAAAGACTGCCGGGACGATTTTACAAAATAAAACCCTCCAGTGAGAAGCTGCCTGCTGCGCGCTTTATGCTGGTAAGATACAACGTCTACATAAATAAACAAATACACATTTTATTAGACTTATTGTTATTCGAGTAACCGTATCCCAAACAATCTTAACCTGTTAAGTCGCATGCCCTAACAACACATTTCAACATTGTAACAGTTTATTGATGTTTTTGGCTCATAGCATGTTGTGACTTGAAGTAGAAAACACACATAAAACCAGCATTAGCTGTCTCTGCTTTGAGTTATCTGGGGCTATTATGTTCTAATTAGAGCCTTTTAACCGTAAGTTAATTTAAATGCAAGTTGTTTCTGTGGATTAGAGTTGGTTATTAAGATAATACAATTTCAAAGACGGATTGGTTTACTGCATTTGGGGCCCAGTCAGTGGCGTAACAAGGTTGTGATTGGCCCCGGTGCAAATATTATTTTTTCAATAATGTACCCCCTTTGAAAAAAAAATTCAGCCAAGTACCCCCTGATCAGCGCAAAAACTATTTGTTAGGGACAAAAAGCCTATATAAAGAGGTACAGTACAGCGCTGCCATCAGTGTCTGATTTATTAAAACAACAACATTGTAACTGAGAAACACTTAAATGCTACATTTCAAATGTTTACAATCCATCACTAAATTCATGGCAAACCAATTTTAACATCATGCAATAACACTAAGATGACATTAGTTGCATTGAACTGATCTTTTTAATAAGTTGTACTTACAATTTGAGAAACATGGGCTTGTGCTTCACTAAGGATCTTTGTCATTCTGACAGGGAGGCAACTGCAGTTATTACACTTCGTGTTTTGAAATATGTGTAACTCTGTTCATATAAAACCCACACAGCTTAAAGTGGACCTATCATGCTATATTTTAATAATATAGTGTAGGACCATACCTATATAAGGCATATTTATACTTTTTTTTTTCAAAATACCAAACAGATCGTGCATTTTAGCCATGCCTCATTTCGCACCGGGGACACATATTCATGTAAAAAGACGTACAAAAGTGCATTTTGCATGATAGGTCCCCTTTAAACTTCCTTACTTTTCCTAAAATTGGTATATATTTTTTTCATTCTTTTTTTTTTTCATTAACATAAAATAAATCTCACGTACCCCCTGCAGTACTCCAACGTACCCCTAGGGGTCCGCATACCCCCATTTGAGAACCACTGGATTAACCGGTTCGCTTGTCACGCAAGGTATCACATGACATGAAAGGGAGCAAGGTCATTGGACAGACAAATGACAAATTAATTTAGGTTGCTTGGTTACTTTGAAGACTGCGTGAACCGGTCAATGCCATTGGGGCCCCTGGCCGGCTCTGGGCCCCGGTGCGTTACACCGGCTGCACCGTCGATAGTTACGCCACTGGGCCCAGTACATGTGAGGTTTTTATATTTTTCTTAAGTTGCTTGGGGTTCATTTTCCACGCCACAGCAGACTATTTCCCTAAAAGTGTAACCTGTAGATGTAACATTAACCTGCATTGTCTACATTCTATATGAATGCTTTTATTAAAATAAATCTATATTTAATTAGGAAGTCTTAATTTATTTAAATACCTTATTGTCATGTGCATCTTACTACTCTAGTCCAATTTCTATATTATACAAATATTTGTATGGACATTTTAAACTAAAAATTACTTGCATGTAGTGTTACCTAAAGACTTCAAATCAATGCACAATTGTATAATTATTAGTTATGGAAAGTATTTATACACAACAATATTAGTTTCAAATGAGGTGGATTAAAATCTATAAAATGTAGGTGTGTCCTACTCGGCCAAAGTAGTTATAAAATGCTGTAATGATTTGGAGTCAATGGGTTGCAAGCTATTGAGAGGTAATGATATTTTTTAACAAAAAAATACTGAATTTCCACACAAAAATATGTATGTCAAATAAAAGGTGGACTCAAATCCAATAAAAAGAGCTGTGTCCTAGTAATCCTGTGTAGTTTTACAATTCTGCATTGATGTCGATCATTAGGTAACACTACAAAGCTATGCGAAACAATCAATGAGATTTTAATTAAAAACTTCTGAGTTTTTTAAAAGAGAATTAAAAAAGCAGAAATAAAAGGTGGGCAAAATCCCAATAAACAGAGGTTGGTCTTATTTGTCTAATGCAGTGATAACATCTGAATTTAATTCAAATGATTTCATGAAATAAAAAAGGTGTGCCTCAAGATATCCAATATCCAATCCAAAACTAACCTCAATGCTATTTATTACTGCTAATAATAAACAACTTAAGTGGGAATAATATAAGAGCACGGTAAACAGTTAAAGGTTAATTAATGATGGGTAATGTTTCAGATACTGTTGAGATGTCTGTCCTGTCTGATCTCAGAATCAGCAGCTGAGAGTAGTGTCTTTGCGCAGAGCCTGTGTTCATCATCTTTCCTCCACAATATAGTGTTAATTGCAGCTGAACCTGAACACTCTCTATCACATCCTGTTGTTCTTCACAGACACATGTCTACCTGTATTGTATTTAAAGCTGCAGATTTCCAGGCAGAACTTTGGTCGGACATTTAAAAAAGATGACGCACTCAGCCGTTGCCGTGGTTACCTGGTGCTTTGGATGGATGGAAGTATAAGACACCGGTGAAGGTTGGTGTGAATGGATGGCCCTAATGGTAGCCTTCAGGTATTATTTGACCCACAACTTTTAAAGTGACTGTGTGAGCTGTTAACCTGTTATGGTTATTTTAGCAGCAAATTGTTGCACAACATTTAACCAGTGGATCTGTGTCGTTCGTAATTGTAACTCATATACTACATCAGTCACATAAGAAACTGCAGATGGAACAGATACCTACTTTCTTCTGATGGCTTTAAAGGTCCCCTATTATACTGTTTTACATCAATATATTATAGGTCTCAGATATATACAAAACATGTCTCTGAAGTGTTTGGCTCGAAATACCAAACAGATCATGCTTTGTAGCATCCCATAATCCCCTCTGTTTCAGCCCTGTTTCAAAAGTGCTGATTCTCTGTCTGTTAAGGCCGCTACACACCAAACTGACACCAAAGAACACGTCCCGACGGACCCGACTGTTGTGTCGCCTCACGTCTCCTCCTTGGCCAAACAGTCGCACTGGAACACACCGCAAAGACTTCAGCCGATGGCCAAGTAGCACGTACGCATTGCGCATGCGTGAGTCACAATAACTCTCCATACCAGCAGGCGGCGGTAGTGTGTATTCGTCATTCAAAAGAGGCAACCAGAAGACAGACTGCGTGATATACAAACAACAAATAGCTACATGCTACAGCTCGAGCCAAGCAGCACAGGGATGAACTATGCCAATATTTTAACAGTATTGGTGCAGTGCCTTTTCAGTGGGGAGAGATATAGCAAATATGTGTGCCTATCCTGCTATTTGTGTTTATTCTTTTAATCACACAGCGTTAAGATTAAATAAAAATGTGCCTACATAACTGTCAGTTGCAGCCGTAGCATTATTATTGGTTTAACTAGCCAAACAGTATATTTTAAAAACATTTTAAAATGACCATCTTGAACAGCTACAACATTAAAATACTTATAGGCAGATTGTGGACAGTAACAAAGTACATTTACTTAAGTACTGTACTGCTCCACTCCCATTCAGGCAAATAGTGTTTCGCTAAACTGAACAGCCAATCAGAGTGATTTCTTTACCCGACGGCCTTTTACCGACAGCCTACCGATTCAACATGTTGAATCGGCGGCGGAAGGTGTAGGCACGGCCGAAAAGACACGACGGTGCGGGACACACCAATCTGAGTAGGGCGACAGGACTCTCATCGACGGCCAGACATCTTTCGACATCTATTGACACCAAAAATCGGCCCGGTGTGTAGGGGCCTTTACTTTAGATGAAAATAAGGAGCCACTCCCCACGCCCCTCTGAGAGATATTTGGTTAAAAAGAACACAATGGTGCTCTAGGAGGAGATTCAGGTGATAAGGTGGGGGGTGTCACCTTGGTTGGTGATTGGCTAATGGTTACACAAGCCACAAAATTGTTATGACATCATAAAGTGGCCAAAATCTGATCAGCTCATTTTCAGACAGGTCAGGACAAAAAGTGAGCTAATCTTTTTCCCTGAAACTTTCAGAATCTCTTTACACAGAGGGGACACATGTTTATGTATAAAATACATGAAAAAGTGGATTTTGCATAATAGGTGACCGTTAAACAAAATCACCAGTGTAATAGTTATAATATTTATTATTATTCTCGTCAACTTGCATTATTACCATTATAACAAATATTATATATATTGTAAAATGAAAGATGTGTCGCTTTACCAAAACTGACCAAAATATTCCCGATTGTTCAGAATGGCTTTGTCTGTGTTGGCTTATGTAGACGGTCCACTGGAGAAGTGACGCCATGAGAGGCTTGCCCATAATTCAGCTGTCAATGCACCCTCAACCAAAAGCCATCAATTAATACGGAGGGCCTGCCCCAAACACGTGAGAATAAAACATACCCCTAGACCCAGCTGTTGCTGCTGCTGCTGCTTATATTTGTGTGCCTGCGTGTACCTTGTGATAGTCATTATTTTCAGGGTTTGACTCCCAATCAATGATCATTTTAGGTCAAACATCCATCAGGGTAAACAACACCAACTGCACTAACAAAACGAAAGCTTAGAGGTTTAATTGTTAATTTTGCAATACAGTATCTTGTTTTACCTAAGCTCAATTTACATGTGTAGGTCTACACATTAGTTAAATGATGTGTCAGGCAATAAAGGAGAGTTAATTCTTGTTTTCTAAACTAATAAACACAAGTTTAGTAGCTTCGAGTCTCACCCGATGTCATATACTAGGGTACACCTTAAACAATGTGAAGCATATAGTATTCAACCTGGTCATCTATAAATA